AATATCCCAACCGATCTTTCGTATTATTCATCAGCATGATTTCATGTTATTGTTACTTCATCAAAATAGAGCTTACAAATCAGATTATTAAATATAAGTTCAAGATTGTCTGATGAGTATAATGCGCATCCTTTTTGCTTAAAAAACTCTTGGCAACATAACAAGAAGCGTTTATTTTCTTTGCGGTAAAAAAAAACTCCCTGAGGTTCGTTTTATATGTTTCTTGTATCTAGTGTCTATTGATGTCATATACTTCCATGCGAAACGACTCAACTTTGTTGTTGAAATATTCACGCTTGGTAAAAATACCACAACCTGATATCAAAAGTTTGAACATGATATATCTGCACTCTTTGAATCTCCAAGCATAAAGTACTGGGTTGACAGCACACATTATAAGCATGAAAATCATGGTAAGGTAAGTCTGTCGGTATGCTTCCCCTTTAAATGGTAGCAAAAGACAAATCAGTAATGGTATGTGAACAAGCTGAAACACCGTTGTAATGCACGTGATGTTTTTTGTCGAAATGAACGTCCGTGATACTGAACTTGTCGATCCTTTTCCAACCGTACTTTGAATCAACCTCGCGTGTTTCTTTACCAGGAGATATGTCGCTATGTAACATACAGTGTTTATTGCTAGGAAAATACCTAGAAAATATACGTTCTGCGAAGTGGCGCCAGTTGCCTTCACGAAATCAAATTGCTCGTTTCTTAGTGAAACAAGTATCACATAGCGTAAGATTAGTTTAATGAGAACGATAACAATTGTGCACACTGCCAGACAGGCAATGATGTTTCTCTTGTTCGCGTTTCTTGTATACCAGTTCGGGAAATAAAGGCAGATAACTCTCTCCAGTGATAATATGGTAACGGTAAGCCAGGAAATTACAATGCACAGTTTGCCTGCCTCGGTGAAAATGGCAATCAACAACTCATTTGTATCTATTGATATAAGTTGCAAGGTTGCCACCAAAAGTATTATTCCTAAAAACAAAGAGTCACATGTCAGAGTAGCACACGTTAGTAGTTTAGAGGCAAACGGAATTCTTTTGGTCTTTTTAATGGCCACGCATGTTGCTATGTTGCTTTGCAGGACTATAAATGAAAATGTGAGAAATGAATATTTCAAAACGTCATTTTGAAATATCCTAATGGTCGAGTTGTCAGGTATGGTAGCATTTGAAATATTCATGACAATGACATAGAAACAATAGTAACAAAGTTTATTCTGTCACACAATGTTTGTAAAGAAAATATTAATTCCAAATGGGCATGTATTTCCTTTTTATGAATCAAACATAAAAGTCTGTATTTAGTTCTCCAATGGTATCACGATTCGGGAAAAAAATTCTAAATATTCCAATTTATATGTGAAAGAAAAAAGTTATCTTCATCACCAATTCCATGACTAGATAAAACAGAAATAAATTCAAAACTCGATTACTGCATCGTAGCTGATACTGTTTTGGTCTTGCAGACGCAGCGGCAAATCCTTATAAAAATATTAATCGGAATGCCTCGATGATTATTGGTAATATATCATATATTCATAATATCCGAAGACTAACCGGAAGGACCGAGAATATACGATTGTAAATCTCGTGAACATTCTTTTCACTTCCGGTGTTAATTACATCACACCTGTTCATATGTATTATAATAATCTTTTTCCAAGGTTCGCTAAATATATTTGTCAGTCTTTGACACAAGAATGTCAATAGGAAAAATTAAATCGCATCATATACGCAGGGTTCCATAGATTTAATATGAAAAAGGCAAAGCCTCAAAGCGAGCTCAATGTATTATTTACGTGAAATAGTATGAACTAATCGCTCATTTTTATTTCAAATGCAGGAACGAGTGCGTGTGACGTCACACGTACTGTGTTAAATATGGCTCCGCCCCTGTCGTGAAATGAATAACGAGTTTTGAAAACGTTGATAAAACTTTGTTTATTTTATTTCACTTTATAATTTTTCAAGCGAAATAAAGATTATTTAAAGTGAAATAAATGTAAAACTTAAAACGTTTGTGACATTAAAATAGCGTACTTGATTTGTTTGTTTTGCACGTGCTGTTTGGCGCGGGTTTGCCTAAAATACGAAAGTGAGATTTTTGACGAAAGTGAGCGAAAGTGACTTTTAAAATATTAATTGTAACGTTTTAATAGACTTTTACAATAAAATTGCAGTTTGTAGACGTATATTATTAGAAATTACTTATATTTATAATGAAAAATAATCATCATGATGATTTATTCGGTTTTTATTTGCATAATTTATATACACAAATTCTTATATCTTCCTTTCGCTTACATTGAAAAATACGAAAGTGACTTATTAAATATAAAATATACCATTTAAATTGAAATTATTTTTACTATTATTGCACAAAGTGGAAGTATAATATCAGAAAATGATAATATTTACTTTCAAAGATAATCATTATAATTACTATTTTAAAAGTCACTTTCGCTCACTTTCGCTCACTTTCGTCAAAAATCTCACTTTCGTATTTTAGGCATACCGGTTTGGCGCTACATTGTGACGTCACGTAAACAATACTTTAAACGTCTGTACAGCGTTAACGACTGAATAAAAGATATTGGTGTTCGGATTCACTTTCTTAGTTAGACCATTTTCTTTCATTCTAGATAGTTTTCACAACAAAATTCGACAAAAAAATTGTTTTTATTTATCAGATTTCAAACAAAATGGCGCCTTAGATTTTCATTTTTTATACACAGCTTCCGTTATTCTGGTTCCCTGTCCAATAATGGTTCCCATAAACGCGCGCGGGTGACCAGTCTACACATCCGTTTTCAGTCAGAATTCCTCAGTTTTTATCGTTATCTTTAAATTCGAAAGGTTGCGATGTGTCCAATTCGGTACTTTGGACGAAAGTTTTCAAAACCATCACTTAGCAGGTACTCGCGTTACCGTAAAGCTCGCTTTGCGAGCAGGCCCTTCGGGCCAGCTCGTCGAGCTCGCTAATAAGTTGTAATTCACAGAGTAAACTTAGTCCAATATTTTGAGGTTGAATAGTAACTGGCAATACATTTAGTGAGTGGTTCGCTTCCTTTTTTATGACTGTTCCATAACTACTGCATAAATCAAGTATATATGTATATATATGGAGAGAGTATGTAAGGCTTTCTAGATAGAATGATATTGATCTACATGGAATTCAATAATCCGAATTATAAAACCATTGTTGATCAAGCATATGACCTGCCTCGTGGATGATTTATAATTTAATTTAATTTTTTTACAATGTCATATATAAAATGTTATTTGAAATGTACAAAATGAAAAGAAATACATGTGGAAAATTGGTTCTCCATAAATAAGTTTACATTGCTTTTAAATAAGCTCGTTAATACATGTGGTAATAGTTAAACAGAATAAAAAAAACGCTTTATTATATTCTTATAAATGAAATATTTTCCGTATTTTCACTTTAAAATTTTATTTTTCACTGCAATGAAACATATTTTTCTTATTTTCATCGGTGTCTTGCCGGTACACTTTCTTCTTAATTCAGTCAATACACAAAATTTAAGGGAAAGTCTTTAAAATTGTACTGTCAAAAAGAGAAAAATGTATATGATAAATGGAAAATTAAAGATTTTTTTTTCAATTAATACAGTATGGTATAACATATTATCATGTTTCACTTGTGGCTACTGCCATTAGTGAAATATTTATTTTACATATCACCCGATGAAAAAAAAGCCTGTATTTATAGGGAAAAAACTTGAATATTCTCTACTCTACATATTTAAGATGCATTTGAATAAAAGAAGAATTTCCGCACCCATTTCATTTGGCGTTGCTTTTAAACAAGATTGTTGCGATCACAATACATTTAGTGACTTTCAGTGGCACATAATTTGAAATAGGGGAAATTTCCGCAGCCTAGTTCATGTGACAAAATGGATACAAACAAAAATCAATTTTGACTTTGCCCATTTCAATATCAATGATGATTTATCTACATGCAATTAAAAGTGAAAATTTCTGCATCTTATTTTTTATCGCGCAGAACGTCCTGAATTTATGTGGGGCTTGGGTTCAAGCCATACTTTGAGCTATTTTTGTACTTTTTAAGAATTTTTTTGTCTTGTCAATGTATTTTTGCTTATTTCTTCTCCTTTTTTAACACTTAATGTATATGCAAAAATAAAAAATTTAATGCTTATATTTTCAAATCGTCAATATCTTTTTAAACAAGATGGTACTATTAAATTTTAATTTTTATTATATTTTTTTATTTATTTTTCATGTAATTGTGTTAAGACTATGATGAATATTAGAAATGTAAAGTTTTAGATGACTTGAAACTTTGTCATTTATATATCTAATTGTAACAAACACAAATTGATCTATTTTGTCTTTACTTATTTAAATATCAAGAATAAAAACCTGTTGCTGAAATTTATAGGTCATTAGATGCTTTACTTTCTATTATTGTTAACTTTTATGCTACATCCGTAATACTGTATGATATTATGAATGACAGCATTGTGGTATTACGTATAGTGCGGAAGGTATTTAAAAGTCACTGTTCTCACATAGCACAATTACATGTATCTATCTGACAATAGGGAACAAAACCAAAAGCAGCACAATGTTAAGCAAATGCTCATTATATTTTTCGGTCGAATACCGTCTAAAATCAGTTTCACTTCCTTTAAGATTTACAGATAAGGTGAATTTTCATTGGTCATTACAAAATTACTAACTGAAACATTGGCCATTCTTAAATCAGTTAAAAGGATCATTCTGAAATGATACATGGGTCTAATTTTAATTATCTAAAAGTCATTTTAACCTTCAGCTCATATTATTATGTATAATGCTCATATTTTATGTGAATGAAAGTGAAAGATGGGTAACTCTATTTAAGATCTTTAGCGTGATAAAGTTTAATATTGTTTGAAAATTAAACTAACTTAATCGTACCTAGCTATAGGTATAGTAAGGCAAGAAAGTTGATTAAAATATTTTATATATTTGATAAATGAAAGCAAATGTTATCTAATAACAGATGTGTGTATACATTTAAGCTTTTTATCCGGAAAGATGGGTCTTTTTACGGTCAATCCCACCAAGTTAAATATAGGTGTATCGCGTTATGCCTTTCAATCCATATCTTATGTATAGTATATATATATAGTATAACGATAATGTTATATAACAAAATAAGCTAAAAAAAATAAATCACATTCCGTATTAAGATCCTTCTTAGTGTCGTCATATATAGTACCGTGACTGTTATTTTTCATGTCCCATTATTGTTTAAACTTTCACCGTTACTTTGTCTTTTATCTAACAACATTTTCTCTACATCACAGTTCTTTCTATCTTCTTTTATCTTCTCATCTCGAGCTTTTTCCCAACGACTTAGTCTTCTAAGTGGAAGGCATATTAACCCAGAAAGTAATATCACAGCACCGGCGAGGTAAAACGATGCCAAATAATTACCTGTAGCGTCAAACAAAGCACCTGCAACACATACATATTTTTACAGTTTCATATTGATAATTACTTTCACAAATGGGTATAATAATAATGTCAGCAAGGTTAAAACACAACTTTATTGATGCCTAAATTTTAATCATTCTCTTCATGATTTCTGTTCTTTACTATTTCCTTTTTCAAAAAGCTAGCATGAAATACATACATATGTAATATAGTAGAGTATGCATCAAACATTATACACGACCATACGAAAATATTCGAGGAAGTAATAGCCTTAGAAGGTGATACCTCGCAAAAGTTAATACATGTACATGTATTTCATTTCATAAGATGAGTATTATAATAAATTAATTTGCAATTTGCATATATTTTTGATATGAAAACTATAAAACATTTAAAAAAAAAAAGAATTTATAGGCCCTATCAGTACCAAAAGAGAGAAGACCTGCCGAAGGGCATCGCCTAAATCTGTTTCCGGTTTATTCAGGAAATGACGTAATTTGTTTAATCGTACCCGCAATCGGCGATCCAATGAATGTCGAAAGACCTTGACACAGTATCAATAGACCAAAGGAGTTGGTCAGTTTGTCAATACCAAGAAGCTCGACCACTATGATTGATCGAAGTGATACAAAAACAGCTGAAAAATAGTTAAAGGGGCATCGTTACATTCGAATTTTGACATGAGACAGACATCATTCGAATTAAACAAGGTTTGTCATAACCGCTATTTGAATAACACAAAAAGAGTCCTTTGTGAATATTCACACTGATAAATGGACTCAACTGAGGATTTTTAAAGAGAGTTTTTTCAAAAATGGAAATATTTTATTTAATATTTAAATACCTTTTGATGTAGATCTGATTCAAATAACACCTGTGCAAAATTTTCGAACATTCACTCTCTCAGTTTTTCTATAATAATCATATTAATTGAGCAAGATGACCAAAAAAACTCAAACTGGATTAAGATTCGTACAAAAAGGATCTATTTTCAATTCAATTCTTTCCGTTTTTAATCATTTGTATTTGTTTTCTTTTAAAGTGCAACAATTGATATATTAAAGAACAATATTTGTTTTAGCTTGCAGAGGGACACTGCCTTAATACATACTCAGTGAAGCTCCTTTAAGAAGTTGATTGAATGTTAACCATGAATATATTGAATTTAAACTGAAATGATAGCAATTTTCCCATGAATTTGTTACTAAGAAACATGATGATATGTTGCAGTCACCATTACCTAAGTTATCCTAATTGTTGTCAGAATAATCATAAGTATGCATTGATATACATGTATTTGATCGGAACAAAACTTTGCAGGTTTTTTATTTTTAATTTAGCAATGACAAATACTTATAAAAATTTACTAACCTATCCCGCACCCAAATAAAACAGCATATGCCACTAAGCCTGCATACACGTTATAGAATGGGACAAACATTGTGAGGACTCCAGTAATAGTTAACCAAACGGTGTTAATTAATATACAATCTGCCCATGGCTTATCGGATATCCAGCCCACGCCAATACGGGCAACTGTGTTGATAATACCTATACTTGATATGATCCAGGCAGTCTGAAAACCAAGAAGAAAAGTGAAATATATTAGTAAACATAAGTTCCACAATAACGATATATAATATACTCAGTTGCAAAAGAATGTGTGCAATTGGTATCAGGGAAATTTTGTATATTTTTAGAGGAAATAATGTGCATATTTGATATCAAAATTTGCAGAAATGAATTGACTACACGATGGTTTATATCTAATTGAAATTTGATTATCACCAGAATTTTGACTACGTGTAAAATCCTGAGAGGTGAAATTTAAAACTTCCAGAATTGTGCTTTTTGTTAATCCGTTTATGTAACTGAATGCTTGAAATGTTTAATGGAACATCATTCAATACCACATCCATACGATGTTACTTAATTAAGTTCCATACAGTCTTGAACACTTTAGATGATCCAATTATATGATGGACGCCACAGATACTGATAAACTTTCAAATTATAAAAAGTCACAATTTTGCAACTTTGACTTTTCGCCCTTCCGCTATTTACACAGAGCCAAAATTCTGACAATTATCAAATTTCAATACAAAAGTAAACCATTTTGTAATCAAAACATCTATACAAATTTTGATATCAAATTTGCCAATGTTTTACTCCAGTTACTGCACATAATTTCAAAGAACAAAGTGCACACTTTCTTTTGTACACACATGTATGCATCACAGGCGTTGAAATAAATATAAAGGTCTAAGTTACATACCGCTTTTATAAAAGTACGTAATAACAATCATGATTATTCAATTTTTTTTTAAAAATAAACCTTCAAAAAAAGCTTTAACAAATATAGTTGTTTATGTTAATAACATAGAAAAGTTTCATGAAAAGAATGGCATCTCTTTGATCATACTTTTTCTGCAATTTGTTTGAATTCACCGAAAAAGGCTCTTAATTCGTGTATAAATTTTTTAAGTGCTTTGAAATGCTCCTGTTTTATGACATAATAACTAAAGAGTATGGCCTTGTAGATCTAAATGACAAATCTTAAAGTATAAAATGAATACATGTACCATAAACTTAAATACTATGCTTTATGCAGATTTACAAAATAATCAAAATTAATAAACAAATGGATATGTTAATGGCATTCTAGTATCAAAACAAATTGACATTTTATATGTATATGAGCCGTGTCACGACAAAACCAACATAATGGGTTTGCGACCAGCATGGATCCAGACCAGCCTGCGCATCCGCGCAGTCTGATCAGGATCCATGCTGTTCGCTATCAGTTTCTCTACTTGTTATAGGGTTTGTAATCGAACAGCATGGATCCTGATCAGACTGCGCGGATGCGCAGGCTGGTCTTGATCCATGCTGGTCGCAAACCCATTATGTTGGTTTTGTCATGACATGGCTCAATTATGGCTCTGTTTCTCTGTCTTTGTTTACGATGTCTAAAATTATCGAAACAAAATGTGAAGACAAATTGCCCAGCGTGCAATAATAAGCATTTTCATTTAAAATATTAAATCAAAGTCAATATGTTTACAACGAGGGTAACTATTTAAAGTTAATGCAGATAAAATTAATTACATGTAATATGGTAATTATGATGTATTTACGACACATACATGTATATATACACTCTACCTGCTTCAACTTCTTTAGAGTTTGTATGAAACGCATTAATAAGTAACTTAATACATTTAGTCTCGATATTTCTTTTAACTGCAACTACGTTTGATTATTTTGAGATTTTGATGTTGAAATCTCTTAAAATTAGCAATGGAACGTTATCTTCTCTTCAAGGAACATAATATTGTGACAAATAGAGATAAATTAGTAATGATAATAAATAAATATACCAACCTGATAATGGATAAAAAAATACCAATCTGATAATAGATAAATATACCAACCTGATAATTGATAAAAATACCAACCAGATAATAGATGAATATACCAATCTGATAATAGATAAATATACCAACCTGATAATAGATAAAAACACCAACCTGATAATTGATAAATTATACCAACCTGATAATAGATAAATATACCAACCTGATAATAGATAAAAACACCAATCTGATAATAGATAAATATACCACCCTGATAATGGATAAATATACATGTACCAACCTGATAATAGATAAATATACCAACCTGATAATAGATAAATATGCCAACCTGATAATAGATAAATATACCAATCTGATAATAGATAAATATACCAACCTGTGATGTGGACATACCATTCTTCACGGCTATGTCTGGTATGTAAATAAATGGAACAAAAAACCCTGAAACAAAAAATATAAAATATCAATATTTATATATACAAATACAAACTCATTTTGTTCGAGTTCGTTTTAAAAAGTGAGTTTATGGAAGGTTAGCCATATTTAATACCCCTAGCACCGGCTGTAACACCATATGTATTAAAATCCATGAAAATTTTATATATTCTTTGCTCGAATCATGAGAAGAAGTTTGAAAATTGTATCACGTGTGATTATCGGTGCTATTTCGAAACAACTAGAATCGTATCTTGGTTATGAAAATGACCTTAAATTAGTTAGAAGTTAATTTAGGAGAAAAAATTACATAAGACACTTTGTCTTTCGTTCAAATCCTGTTTTTAAGCATATTTGAAATGCTTTGTGTATGTTGTTAATTGAAACATGTATATATATTTTGAGAAATAAATTAAGTTAGTTAGAATTACGTAGATATAAAACATTGTACATGCTTTTAACAATAAACAAAACAAAATATAAAACAATAACATAAACAAACTTTTTGTTACATTTAGATTGATCAATTTGTAGAGAATCTTGTTTTGTTAAAAGTTGTACAAAAACAAAGCAAAAGACAACAGATGAAACCAAAAATATAATCTCTCTGACTGAAAAGTACGTGGGGAGTTTTTTTACCACCGCCACACGGCATTAAAACAACGCAACGCCTATGTAACAATGAAAGTTCATTGGATAAAATAAAGATGAGTCGACATTTTTAGAGGTGAACGAATGTTGGTCAAAAAGACTGGTCAATGACCATAATAAAACTGTAGCTTTGTGACTAATGATACTGGCCAGGTGTTAGTGTGTTTGTTATCAGAGAAAGTAAATAAGGGAGTACGTAATAAAACTGATAAAGTGATAAAGATGTAATAATGTGTGTCCTGCTTCTTTAGATTATCTGCAAAAGTATTACTTTTTGATAAACATAAAGGAAAGAGAGGTCATTTAAGGTGATATATTGAAAGTTATTCAGGTCATCTTTGATTTATTTTGGACTTAATTTCAACCTGTCCACATGAAGACGTGACTACAGACATGTGTATACAGCATTTTTAAATACAATCTTATAATAAACCTTCACCCTACTGTCGACAACTATATCTATCTATGCGACCAATGTGCGTATGCGACCAGTGTACACATGCGACCAGTGTACCCATGTGACCAGTGTTCTCATGTGATCAGTGTACACATGCGACCAGTGTACCCATGTGACCAGTGTACACATGCGACCAGTGTACCCATGTGACCAGTGTTTTCATGTGATCAGTGTACACATGCGACCAATCTATTCATGCGACCAGTGCAGACCAAGATTGGCCAGCACAGAGCTATTCAGTCAGGACATATTTGAACTTTTCACTAAATCACTTGAAATAAAGAATGGTTATGCAAAGTTTGAAAGATGGACAAGTCAATCAAAGACAATAAACTGTTTGTTTTTTTGGTGTTTAGTTCTTGTTTTCTCGTTTGTGTTGGGTATTTTGTGTTGTTTTCTTTTGTTGTTGTTGTTGTTGTTGTTGTTGATAATGATGTTGTTGTTATATGGTACTAGTAAACCAACAAAATATGCATAATATGTGCAAATAATAGTGCGAATGCAAAGTGACGCTTAAATTGTAGTTGACGATGTTAAAGCAGCATACAGCAAGATGGGCAAACAACAATAATATACACAATTTATCAGTATTTAGTTCGCAAATTTTGGTACAATTTATGCAAAATATGTCAAAATTGACTCTTTCCGTGTTTCGGCATCATATTTTCCCCCCGTTACCTAATTACATAGTAAGAGGCATTTACGTAAGTTCCCACATGCTATATATAGTAATGTTTTGATAGTTAGTGCCTCTAAAGCTAAGAGGACAAGGGTCTGTGTTTTAGGCTACTATTACAAACAAGAGTATTCTACTTACCTATCATACATAGAAAACACGATAAACCGTAGATAACGAAAGTTGGACTCTTTAAAAGTGAGAAGTCAAACGTATCTGTAAAAAGCTTAAGCCAAGAGACTTTCTTGCTTTTAACACTGCCAGTATCAGCTTCATCCGAGAGATCGTGGTTTAGTTTAAGCATGCTTCTCACGAAGTTTTCTTCATTCCCCGCAGCTGTATATTCAGGAAGTCTTTGAACGCTTCCGCTATAAAATATATCTTTTCGTTCTAATGGGTGTAACACGTGACGACCTTTGGCGTGTTTTCGTGACCTTGGTTCAGCATCCAAAAAGAGGCTATGACCGAGTCGTGCTATGTCGGAATCTTTCACGCCTCCATTTTCTTTATTACATGCTTCAAGCGATTTACTTCTATACATAGAATTCTCGGGTGTACCTTTAATCTTCTGCAGCAATGGGTTATAAATTGGTTTATTTTTATTGTCGACTTCTACTTCTTCATCGCAAGTTTCAATAAGTTCAACAGAAGTATCTGCATATTCTAGAGGCCGGAATAACGCAGAAAATACGATCCCATTTAGGGATATACCGGACAGAATCCACATGGCACCTTTCCAACTATATTTACTCAAGAGGTATTCGCTGAGTGGAGCAAATAAAAAGCTCCCTATGCCACTGCCACAGACAGCTATTCCTGTAGCCAAGGCGCGCCTTTTATCGAAATAGTACCCGACCATAACAATAGCCGGTAAATACATCAATCCGAAACCAGTTCCTGAAATGAAGAAACGCCGAAAGTAAGAGTTAAAAAATGAGATAATTTGTAGTATTGTCAGAAGTGTATTTAAATATACATTGTTTATAGTTGCGTGTACATAATTAAGGCACAAGTTGGCTCCCTATGGTCCAGTTCTAGAAATAACAAACATTTTTTCTCTATTTTTAATGAGAGAACGAATATTAACAAGTACATGTATATTATCATTCAAATATCAAATCCTACAGGAAATATGGTTCATAGCTAATAAAAAAATCTATTTTGAAGTTGATATTGAGTTGTTGTTGTTGTTGTTGTTGTTGTTGTTGTTGTTGATGTCTTCGCTGTTATATTGCTAAGCACCTATAAGACATGAAAGCGTTTATTTAATTTATGGCTTTGATTTATAGATATACTGATATATACAACGCACATTATTTTAAAAAAAATTCCTCATTTATTTTATTTCCGTGTTAGAAACTAAAAGTCCAACGGACAATAACCGTACGTCTTCGTCATTGTGTTATTACCCTTTTCCAATTAAGAAAAAAAGGCTTACAAAACAAAAATTTTTACAGTTAATAAATATCACTTGAAAATTTGGAAAAAGGTGCGGCACGTAAAAACGAGCCACCGGTGATACCGCTCTTACATGGACAAACAATATCTCAGCATATAATCTAAAGCACCCTTTAATTGGGCCTGTCTATATAGAATGAATTATAATTTCAAAAAAATTATTAATATTCATTAACAACAGACAAAAGTTTTCATGTCGTTTACTTGCCAAAAAGGAAAAAAGAAACCCAAACAAAACCAAAATAATTAAGTACGTTGGAGAAAGTTAGGCTAAACAAAGCGTATATTGACCAAAGCACTAAATACAATGCAATGACCATACAAGGCTGCAAACAAGAAATGAATGCAGGCAAATTTCAGTCTATGCCACGAATGAATGCAATGCTATTGCAATATGAAAACAAACAAACAAAATATTAGTATCATAATATTAAATTTATTAAAAGCAATAAATAAATAATTCATATAATATAAAGAATATAATATGAATTCATATCAGTGTAACTGTGAATAAAAATATAATGCAATGACAATGCAATGCAATTCAATACAATGCAATTGTTTACTGCAATACGCACCAAAAATGGTATAGTAATAAGATGAGAGCCAAATATTAAGCAATGTACAAAAAAAAAACAGTTTGTTTTTACTGAGCTATTAAAGTAAACTTTTCAAAAAAATTGACAGTGCAGAGATGTAGCATACTTTGGATTTCTGAGTTCATTTGTAAACTGTATTTAAAGGAAATTAAAGTAATGTTAGAAGTGTATGATTGTGCTTCAAAAGGTAATTGCATACTGTGTTCCGTTAGGGCCAGCGCGTTTTCTCTGCGATGGTGACAGAACGACAGTACGGTGGCGGAGTGCGACATAACGATCGTGATAGTCCATCGTGCTGCTGTACTGTCACCATCATACTGTCGTATTGTTACTATCATACTGTCTAACCGTTACCATGGTACTGCCGTACAGTCACCATCGTACTGTCGACTTCCTGTTAAGCACGCGCATAGTAAAATATTAATATGGAGGAAAACGTTAGCCATGTCACAGAACTAAATAGATTTAAAGGCACGTATCTTCGTCTGACGTCATGTACATAGTGAAATGTTTGCGTGACAGGAAGGCGACAGTACAATGGTGACAAGTACGACAGTACAATGTTGAAGCGCGACGATGGTGACAGTACTATGGTAACAGTACGAGAGTACGACGGTTACAATACTGTCCACGTTTTTAAACACTAATACAAAAGGTATATTTGTTAATCAATTTTGTAAGTCCTGAATAACACTGGGAGTTAGAAAAAACAGATTTAATTTAAGCCGACTTTTATCTTGAAAAGCATGATTTGATTTATGCACTTACCAATAGACAGATATGTTCCGGTGAGTACAGAATTTATCGAAGATGTTGTGCTCTTGTTGGCGCCAAAATAGTCCTGGAAATCACTGAAGAAAATTCCAAATGTGAACGCAATTCCGTCAACAATCATGCCGACCATGAATGACGACAGCGTAATCACCCAACCCCAACCTCCGTCCGGAGGCACGGGGATCGCAATGTTGTCATCGTCATCGCGGTTTGATATTTTACTGTCGTCTGCAGCGTTTCCTCTTGTCTTGCCGCAAGTATTGTCAGGGTTTTCGAAATTGTTTTTCTTTGATGACATGGTCCTATGCCGAGATCATACTGGAATTATATGCAAATGTCTATATGAAATACACATATTTATTGTTGTTGTTGTTGTTGTTGTAATAAGAATATAAAAAGTAGGCATATTCAATTCATATTGTGTGCATATCTTTCTTTGTTTTGGCTTGTTCTTTTAGACAAACAGAAATAAGGAAAGTAATTTTTAAAAATCCAAAACAAACAAACAAAAAGGACATTAAGCCATGCAATGTATTGCATTTGATTGGTTTCATATATGTATGCCATATGTTTTATCCTGTATTTTATATTGATTGATATATACATATATGTTATTGAGACTTAAATAAATAAATAAATAAATATATATGCAAGAAGATGACATACATGTACATGTAAAAAACGGATCGTAATTCAAATATTTTCCTTACCATAAAAAATGTACTTTCGATTATTGGAAAATATCTTTTTTTAAAACTATATAAAGCAATTGATTCAGGTTCTATCTCTACTTTTTGACACACACTAAATCCGTCATTTAGCTAATTCGGTACAATTCTTATGCATTACAATAAAATTGCATTACTACTTAATTCTTAATTAATAAAATGAAAGTAGAAGTCTTTAGCATTGTAAGGTCAAAAAAGTTAAATAAGTTTATCTGAAATATGTATTTTCATACCACTCGATGAAAATAAATCCTGCATTTATAGAGAGAGAAAAAACTTGAATATCCTATATGTATTACAGAAATATAGTGCACAATAAAATGTGATGTTAGAGCGTGTGTTTTACTTTATTATTCATAACTACTTTGTATGAGGTAACAAAATACCTTCCTTGGACTATATGACACATAATCGCCTTTATTTTCCGCCTTTTAAACAGAAAAAAAGATAAATGTGAATATGTAATTTAACTGGGCTATTTTCCCAACTCTTTTAAACGACAACTTAATGATAGAAATAAAATGTCAAGGATGGTATATTCAGCAATGCCAAAATTGTTTAAGTCACATATATTACGTCACACAATGAATTATGAATTTAATTGTATATTATCGTTTATGATACTTAGGAAATAGATATCAATTCTGAGTGCATTGTTGTAGAATAATGCACGGTTTGAGTTCAAATGCGTAGTAATATAATCACGAAGGCCGATAGGCCTGAGTGATTAATTACAAAGCATTTGAACGAAAAACGTGCATTATTATACAATAATGCACAAAGAATTAATAACTATTTCCATTCTAACACGTCAAGAAAAAATATAATTAGATCTATTACTATAAAGCCGGACTTTATGTTTGGTGTTTAAATTTGTTTTCGCCAATAGAAACGTTCTTTAAAGGCTGTTACAGTGGTATGAAAAAAAACTGTCGTTAAATCTTCCGTGTGTAGAAACATTTTGAGAATAACGCATTTTTAAAACGTTGATTAAACTTTGTTTTTTATTTTATTTCACTCTATAATTTTTCAAGCGAAATAAAAATTATTAAAAGTGAAATAAATGTAAAACTTAACTCGTTTGCGACATTAAAATAACGTACTTGATTTGATTGTTTTGCACGTGCTGTTTGGCGCTACATTGTGACGTCACGTAAACAATACTAAGTCTTTAAACGTCTGTACAGCGTTAACGACTGAATAAAAGATATTGGTGTTCGGATTCATTTACTTAGTTAGACCATTTTCTTTCATTCTAGATAGTTTTCACAACAAAATTCGACAAAAAATTGTTTTTATTTATCAGATTTTTCAAACAAAATGGCGCCCGCAATGTGAAAATACACAGGGAGATAATAAGAACGGCGAGTGCATTGTTGTAGAATAATGCACGCTTCGGGCTTTCTTTGTTTATATAGAAAAAATTCCGAAAGTGTTAGAATGAAGGTTTTGTAACGTATGTAGTTAATGTTTAATGAGGGTCCATCCGCCCGTAACGGCACAAAAAGCAGCTCTCGCTGTAGTTTTGTAACGTCTAGCGGCTCGGGTTATATATACCATCAACCGTTTATATATGGTCATATAAACTGTCAAAAATCTTAATAACTAATAATATAACTTTTAAAAGTCGTTATAACCAATAACATACATGTTTGCTACTATTTTGTGATTTATCAAAGATAAGAAATTCGCAATTGCCTATTACAAATTCGATTTTAAGACTTTCAATGGGTTATATGGACGTAAATACACGGTTGTTTGATATATAATTCTTGTTTGTCAATTTAGGTTATATAAGTTTACCCAATATTTACAATGGGCTATTAAACCTATCAAAATGTTTATAGCTTAAAAAGCTTGCATTATTAGTTATAAAGATTTTCACAGGTTATATGGTCCTGTATAAACATTTGTTTACATATATAACCCTTGCCGCCAGACGAGGGTTATATTGCAAAACAACTATTTATATTTACGCCATATAACATATCATTCATTATATTTATTTTTATTATTTATAGTAATAATACATGATATATTGATATCATTATTTACATTAGTATTAGATCTGTTGTTGTTGTTGTTATTGTTTTTGTTATTATTATTATTATTATTATTATTATTATCATCATCATCATTATTATTATTATTATTATTATCATTATTATAAATTATTATTATTATTATTATTATTATTATTATTATTATTATTATTATTATTATTATTATTATTACTTTATTTTTAAGTCCTTTTAGGTTCTATTTATATCTTTATCATTATTATCATTATCAACATCATAATCACTGTTATCATAATTATTATCGATTTTATCATTAACTTCATGAGAAACAATGTAAATCATACGAACCCGCCTATTTAAGTCCCTTTTTTCATTCTGCAATTTAAGAATAAACATTTCGACGTCATGATGTTCCGCGTGACGAAACGCGGTAAGCAAGTATTAAAAAAAATAATAAAAAAAGAAAAATAACTTAAATTCACAGAATGAATAATGGTGTAAGAAAATCTCTGTAAAATATACAGTATTAATTCACTTACAGTATAAACATTCTTCTGGCGTTAATTCAACAATTATACACGTGCCGTCCAGACGTTCCACGTAACGTTACCAATTGTTCTATAACATTCACTACGTTTTCTAATCTCGAAATCGATATGTTTTTATATATTTTTGTTATACTTTTGCAGAATGGTTATTTATCAAACAAGAATTCGAATACTTAAATTTGCACCTAATAAACCAGAACTGTGTCTCCTATACCTTGATATTTCGAAATAACCACATGGATTATGGATTATGTGATAACAGTGTCAAAAAAGATAATGTGTTTAACCTTAGATTATGTAGAAATAAAATATACGTCTTGTTTGTTTTGTCATAATAGTTTGTAGCATATGCTGCATATGAATGAGCAGCTGCATTGTGGAATATCTGGCCGATCTTACGAATTAATGGAGCAAGAGCCGCCCGGTTCAATATGTAGAGCGTTGTACCGTGAATCGGGCAGGTCACTTTCGTTGTAATTGATCATGAAATCCTGTCTATGGTCATTCGCACTGGCATGTATCCTTGTGAAAGTAGGGGAACTAGTACTGGTAAGTACTCTGGTAAACGGCTTGAGGCTTATCCAGGAACGATGCGGTGGCTGAACTGTGCTCTGGTCAATTCAATGTGGCTCCCTGTCGTGATCCGGATGGTAAACTACCACCACCAACACCAATTAATGAAGCAAGTCTGTCAAGCTGTCTATACTAGTAGTGTTTAAATAAAGGACAAAAATGTACCTTAATTAATAAGACACGCTTGCGGATAACGGAAACAATGTTCAAACAATCGAACTTAAATTTAATACAAATATATCAAAAGCTTGGACAAAGCTTGAATATTCACAGTTAAAGTGACATTCACAGTGATGTGTACAAAATTTGATAAAATTTATCATTTTTATCCCGTCTATTTCAGCATTATTTTAAGAGGTCGTGTGTCTTGAATTTAGGTGAACAGAAAGTCCTTGTGCCAGGTCAAGTCTTTTTTTTATTTGTATAATGTTAAAAACTGGAAACCTTAAAGAACACCCAAAACAGCAAAAAAAAATAATGTTGCAGGCTCTGTTTGAATGAGCCTGTACATGGATGGAAACGATAAATGTAAGTTCCACCGCCCCTAATACCGGCTGAAGCGGATTTATCATTTAATAATGAAATGGTGACATTTAAAGTTTAGAAATATCCACAGATTTGTACATATGGCAGTAATTAACGAACCTTTAATGTACGTGCCACTTAAAAGTATGGTTCTGAAGTATTTAGAATGCGTGTGTCCTAAATGACAAAGCAATTGTCGAAAATAAATGATATTGAATTTCCGCAATAATTGAAAAATACGTGAGTCTGGATGTGCGCTGCTTTCAAAAAAAGCAATAGTGACACATATATTTCCCAAATATAATTTTGTTTAATTCTTTTATTTAAAATCATTAGCCCTAAACACGCTTTAAGTAGACTTGTCCATCATTCAATATAAACAAAATCATTATAATTTTTAGTTGCTGTGTTACTATTATTAGAACAACAAGCAAACTGGGTGATCTTGGTCTGCACTTGATTGCAGATGTATAATCTGTTGTCGACACATGCATGGCTTGTGATCAAAACTGAGGATTTCTAATATCTTTGTTTCTACAGCAACGTCTCGAATCAATGTATATCATGTATAGATAAAAAAAACTTCCTTCTACACAAATGAAACAAAGATAAATGAACGATTATGCTAGATTTCTTAATGCCATAATTTACCCAATGCAGCACTTGTAATTTACATGTGCTTGTGTGTATAAATATATCTCTGTAAATACATTACAAGAAACTGTACTTAGTGTCAAAGTGTCAACAGATGTAAAATACGTGCCAAAAACACGAAAATACTGAATTTGATTATATACTTATATATATATATATGCATACTTATACATATACATGTATATATCTTATTAATACAGTGCAGGTATCTGTATCTTGTGTGTCATAATGTAAAAATACGTAAAATACGTGCCAAAAACACGAAAGTACTGTATGAGATTATATACATTTACTTACCACAGTTACTTATATATCATAAATCCATGTAATATTTGCTCTTTGCAGACCCTTTTTGATAACAGATTTACACTCTTAAGAAATTGATATACAGTGCCCTTAAAACGATTCAACAAGACATGATGTAAATTGTTTATCTTGTTTTAAAGATATAAATAATTTAGACAGTGACCTGTACCATCCGTTTATGTGCATTTATAAGCGAAACATTTATAGAAGATAACCACATTAAGGTTTGACACCACAAATTGTTAATCAGTAATTTTATGTTGACCTTTTGCGGTGCAGCATCCTTTTCTGTTGACGGGTACAGAATATCGACCAGTGCCGTCTGATTATGGTCGACACTGTTCTATTTTTAAACCCTAAGCTAGCCTGGTGGCCGCTACAAAACGAGTATGCCCATGCGACCAGTGTCGTCTAATCTTGGTCTGCACTGTTCGCTATTTTTAAACCCTAAGCCTGGTGGCGGGTACAGAAACGAGTATGCCCATGCGACCAGGGTCGTCTGACCATGGTTTTCACTTACCTTTACCTAAGCCTGGTGGCCGCTACAAAACGAGTATGCCTATGCGACCAGTGTCGCCTGATCCATGGTCTGCACTGTTCTCTATTTTAACCCTTTGCCCGGTGGCCGTTACAGACTATACATTTAAGAGGGGTATAATTCATATTATTGAGTTCTTTATGCTTCTAAACGTTTGAGTATGTTGCATATGTTTATTGGCAAGACTTATTTTATCGGCATATCAAAGATAACCCAGTTTTGAGATAGGACAATCAACGTTTACCACATCATGTATGAATGTAGGGACATTTAGTCTGCATTGTTCAATGATAAACACTGATTTGTTAGTTTAGTACATACATTGTATTTACATTGATGTTAATTGTACGTTATTAATAATTTTATACTATTGCGTCATAATTTTATATAATACAATATAGCTAGGATAGGTGACTGATTAATATCATTTCATTACATAAATTTGTGTTTCCCTGACTCTATTTTTTTTAAATGTCATTGCCATAAAATCGAAATATCTCGGTACTATGAATCTATAAATGCCTGACATCATTATTTTATACTCTTTTTTATTAATAATTGGCAATATGGGTAAATAAACACGAATTAATTTTAACGAATATTAGTTAAATGTCACGTTCTTATAATTGACAAGATACCATGTAAATTAATTAAATGTCACGTGATTATAATTGACTTGGTACCAATACCAGGAACATTTTAGACTAATGTTTCTAGAGTATAGATCTCTGCTGCTACCAGGGACATAGATTATGTTCCTGCTACTAACGATAGGTCTTTGTTGCAGGAAGCATATTGGTAATATTTCATAATTATAGCACGCATAATGAAAAAGAATCAATAAGTCTGGACAGAATGCATTATGCTACTGTTCTAAAACTTGAAAAGCAATCATTCAAAAAAAATTGAAAATCTTATGTTCATTTCATGTCTGTCACTAAAAGGACGGAATTTTCTAAATGACAAAAATCACACAGACAATTAGAAAATGACAATCTAAATTTATATTAGGTAATTTAAGTGTGTATGTGTGTTTATCAAATTTAAAAATTTGATTTATAGTTAGATCTACAAGTACTACCTGTTTATCCTGACAGAAGAGAAAATCTAATAGATAGAATTATTCACTTTGAAATCCCGCTGTTTTACCCCGTAGGAAGATTTAAACTTAATCTTAATTAATAAATGCATTGCCACTCATAAGATGACCTATAAAACACATCAAATTGCAATTTTTGTTACATGAACAAGATGCTGACCCAATCTTCAAACAAAAGTGCACAATTTTTCGCCTGTTGCCTTATTTTTATCAAAATCTTCCACCCATTTGTCAGCCCCCCCCCCCCCAGGAAACCATGTTCTGTATCCGCCCCTGTAAAAAATTATAGACGTAGACATATGAATGTTCTTAAAAAATTAATGGCTTATATATTAAGTTTTTTATATATTGGCAAATATACGTTTTATTTGGAATTTAAAATCGTTCTAAGTGTCTGTGATTGTCCGGGGGACTTTCAAGAACCTTGGTGAGGGAAAAATCAACATGACGTCTATCATATAACCAGTACGGAAAAATATTGTCTTGCCGGACGATAAACACAAGCTCCCGCGAAATGACGATATGTTCGAGTAATAACATTGCCAAATCTGAGAGATTTGATTGGTTGAAATTGCTTGCGGCCGACATTTTTGTTCGAGAAGAAATAAGAAGAAAAGTAGTGAGATTAAAAGGTAAAATATGAAGCAATATTGCTCGTATTATACATGTTAAACTGCTCACAATGCAGTTTGTATTTTCATCTAAACTATTGAGTAATTTTAACCGTGAACCCTTGTTAAATATCTGCTAATGAATTGAAAGAAGACGGAACCCGATTCTGATGTATGTAAACAAAGGAAAACAAATCTAGACCATAAATCTGAATATTCTTTGTTACTGTGTTTTCATAGATGGTATATTTTGTTTGAATTTTGTCTATCTAAAACTAATAGCCTTTAGTTATGCTAATTTCAGGCCAGTAAAGGTGTATATTGAAGAAAAATTAAAGAGAGACAGACTAGAATTACTGATTTGAAAACGAGGCTCTGCGTCAGCTGTGACTTGTTAATTGCTCATGTTTGAGCCTCAGTGGTTGAAAAATATAGACAGCTATGAGGGAAGAAATTGCAGCTGCTGTTGTTTTCGTGACACGATTAATAAAGCAAAACGATAGCATTCCAAAAGAAAAGGTTGATGAATTTTCAGACCAGTTGTCAGCAACATTGATTGACAAGTTCAAGAACCACTGGTATGCTGAAGAGCCAACCAAGGGTCAGGGATACCGATGCATTCGTATAAACCCATCTGAACCTATTGACCCTGTATTAGACAAAGTTGCTGGTATTTGTGGATTACAATACACTGATCTCAACTTGCCACAAGAACTGACACTTTGGGTTGACCCAAAAGAAGTTTGTTGCAGGTAATGAATGCAGGATTAGAAAATGTAACATTTTTTAAAGATTTTACTTGCAAAAACTAAAAAAACTTGGATTGATTTTACTGCATCGGCAAATTCAAAACATCCATATTTCAATGTAAATGTTCATTGTAAATGTTCTGTTCAAACTTAATATTTAACATGTCTAATTATACACAAGTACGCATATTTTACTTCCTTACATATTGGTATTAACAGTGTTTAATGTAATGACATTTATTGTCCCAAAATTCTGTGTAAAAACTTATGGACCGGACCGATCATGAAACATCTTGTCTCTATCTCTTCTTAACAAAGATTATTTCAAACAAATTCTATTTGTTTTAATAGTGATCGTACCTCTGAAATACTTTTAGTAGAGGGCTGAGTTGACCCTTTACAGTGTACCCATGTAGTTTATATCAAAATATCACCCTGCAGTTTCACAGACATTTGTGGGTCATACCTAGCCCCCAGCTTGTTTAGTCCCAGTCAGCTGTCAATAAAAATCTTATTATATTTTAACGCAGATTAGATATTTTTATCATAATAAATTGGTGAAATGACTGTTTTCCATTGTACAGATTTGGTGAAAGTCAGGGATCATTTTGCCAACTTGCAGTGCTGAAGGAAGATGGTAACCTTGAAAATCAAGCACATACGGTTAACATTGAGGATTTAGTGAGACAGCAACAACAGCGTTTCAACATGAACCTTAATATTGTTACCACGCGAACAAGTGCTAACAAGCTTAAAGCCATGGCTATGAAAAATGCTGTGTTTCAGCAGCAGTTTTACAAGCCCAGTTATCATCACAATAGCAAGTTTCAGCAGAATTTATACAACAACACGAATCAGCAATATCAAAGCTCTTCTCGACCATTCCACAAGTCTCATCATCACCACCACCACAACAATCATCATCACCATCATCATAAAAATGGCCACCACAGCCAGAATTCGTCTGTAAATAACATGAATGGCTATCAGGGTAGTAAGAGCGCAAGTGATTTTACTGGGGGTAGCGGCAATTTCAGTTCGGGCTACGAGATGCAGGGAAAAGATAAGTACCGCTGGGTGAGGGGCAAGCAGCATACGCCTGACCAGCAGGAGAAAATGAGATTGAGTCCGAACTGAGGTATTCTTGATCAAAGCCATTGGGTGATATCTATTAGAAGTCAAATTCTAAGTCTGTCCGATGTATAGAATGTTATATTTGTGCCTTGTCACACTGTGCTAGTCTATAATTTATACAGATTGTTCAATTATGAAGTTTGTCTTGAATCATGGGTATTTTAATATATTTGCGGCAGCTTAGATTTGACTGGTTTTTATTTACGGACCGTATTTATTGTTGACGACTTTTGCCATGTTATACTGGACCTGAGATTGTGATTTTTGTTTTTAATTTGTACATCATTTATCTTATCATCCCTACACAGAATGAAAACACATAGTAATCATAGCAGTTGTCAGTTGATAAAGTCTTATAATTTTTATAGAGAATATGGCTAATGCTTGATGGTATATATTCATGAATTTTTCAAATAACGTGATCTAAGACCAAAGCTTTTTACATCTGGTACATGTATTTAAACTTGTTTTATGTAGGTATAATGACTATGATAAATTAGATAATAAATAGCTTCATTGATCATTTTTTAAAAAGAAATATTAGTTTCTGACACCAAAAAATTATTTAAATCTAATGGTTTTGAACTTTCTTGTTTTTTTTTTAAATTTCAGATGTTAAGTTAGATCATTGCATGCTAGAGATAATGGATGTTTTTATGGGGTACAATGATTTGCAGAATATTTATCTAACAAAATTCTTCCTAAATGCAGGTTTTTCAGACACCTAAAAGCCATCTTTCTTCTACATTATTAGTAGATAAAAGTGTTAAGATAAAAGTTGTAAAGATAAAGATTTTCAGGATTTTTTTATAATTAAAGTTTCAGCAAATAGAATCTGCAAATTAATTGACTGGATGGAAATATAATGTCAACCAATCTGTTTGAACTTTGATTAAAGCTAGAATACACTTATATGATAAAAGTTAATATTGATCATTCATGCAAAACAAATTTTAATTAAATGTGCTTTAAAGTTTTACTGATTGTGACTGCTTCATTTTTTATCATTTTTTGCATGATCAGAGAAGTGTTCTCACAACAATTTTGCATTCCTATGATATATAAATTCATTTAAATTGAATTTGTAAAACCCAAAGATCTCTTACAATCATCTCACATTGTATACATATCCATCACTATATTGAAACGCTATCGCGACTGAATAATTATTTTCATTGCACGTCATGATTTTAATATCATCAAACTTATCATATTTTATATTTTTGTATTTCGAGTTGTGTGTACCAAAGTTCATGATCCATAATTTTTACTGTGCACTATTTTAAGATAATTTTTCTTGCTGAGAATAGGCATGTCAACTATATAATTTACTAGCATTTTTTCAATACAGTTTTTGGGTACATTTGAGAAGAAGAAAAAAATCACTGGTTAATCACTTCTGATGCATTCTTTTAGATTTCATAACAAACTGATTTTGTTAATTTTGATAGTTGAACAAGAAACATGTGCTTTTTACTCATAGATTTTCAGTTTTTACTAGTATTGATAAGGCAAAAAACAAAAGATTTGAGCATCGCCAGTGATTTCATTCATAAATTGAGTAAATATATAAAGTTTGTATTTTTGTATCTCATTTTGATGATTTGGCTAAAAACAGCAGTTTGAGTTGATAATATGAACCTGTTCAATACATCTTCAGGCTGGCGTTCACATTTGGTTATCAATTATTATAGACTCTTTAGTCTTTTATACTTACACACTGCAACACACTTGTTATAAGTTGAAAAATATACATTGAAATTGTTTAATTTTTTCCATCCTTAGTGCTAAATGAATGATTTTAAAAATAGAATTTTCAATGCATTAACTATGTATTGCCCTGGCTCGTCTGTATATGAAATATTACAACTTAACTGTAGAATGATATAGGGTGATCTATTATTTATATTTCCAATGCGTTAATTGATTTTTCCATGTAAATAATAACGTTTGTCACGATAGAATTGTATTATAGCAATATTTAAAAGATCATGTATAGTGATTTATTATTTAATATATATATATTCTGTAGAAAGTATATTTAGATTGGAATGAAACAAAGTAATATATGATTTATTTAAGCCAATTAGATTAGGCAGTTTGCGAGATTGCTTTTAAAATACGTTTTTTAAATTTATTGTGTTATAGATACCAAAGGCAGAAGTTCTTTAAACATGATGTGATAGATTTTGTCTTAAATTAATTCTTTCTAGGTAAATAGTAAATAGATTTATTTTGTTGCATTTATGATTGGTTGGTGAAAAATACGCATGTGAAGTTTTGGGTAAATAACAGTTTTTTAAAAAAGCTTTTTGAAGTTTCTCTGTACAATTTATTTTTTTGTAATTTATTATGTAAATTAAGATTTTTAATAAATATTGTTTAAACAGAATATTTCGATGATCAAAAAAAAATTTTTTTTGCTTTTAGTAATAAACTAATTATATATCTTTTAGAAATCAGTTAAATTATTAGCTCGACTATTCGATAAGAATAAGTAGAGCTATTGCATGCACCCGAGCGTCGGCGTCCGCGTCGGCGTAACCACTTATGTTAAAGTTTTTGTAATAGTTCAAATATTTTCAAAGTCCATAGACATATGGCTTTGAAACTTTGCACACTTGTTCACCATCATGACCCCAACCTGTAGACAGGAGGAGGTAACTCTATCAAGCATTTTGACAGAATTATGCCCCTTTTTCGACTTAGAATTTACGTTAAAGTTTTTGTAATAGTTCAAATATTTTCAAAGTCCATTGACATATGGCTTTGAAACTTTGCACACTTGTTCACCATCATGACCCCAACCTGTAGACAAGAGGAGGTAACTCTTTCAAGCATTTTGACAGAATTATGCCCCTTTTTCGACTTAGAATTTACGTTAAAGTTAAATTTTGTAATAGTTCAAATTTTTTCAAAGTCCATTGACATATGGCATAGAATTTTAAAACTTTGCACACTTGTTCACCATCATGACCCCAACCTGTAGACAAGAGGAGGTAACTTTTCAAGCATTTTGACAGAATTATGTTCCTTCCATCATAACAATTAAGGACAATTCTGTTTATAAAGAATTTTGATTTGCAACCCTTTTTCGACTTATAATTTACATTAAAGATCACACTGTTAAGTTTTTGTAATAGTTCAAATATTTTCAAAGTCTAATTGACAGAATTATGCCTTGACTTAGAAAGATTGAGCTTGGTTAAGTTTTTTGTACCACCTCACTTTATTCAAAACCATTTTGAAACTTTGCACACTCTGTCAAGTTTTTGTTCTTTTTGACATCATGAATATGATTGCCCCCAACTTTGTAAACAGGAGGAGGTAACTCTATCAAGCATTTTGACAAAATAATGGCCCTTTTTCGACATAGAATTTACTTTAAAGTTTTTGTAATAGTTCAAATATTTTCAAAGTCCATTGACATACGGCTTTGAAACTTTGCACATTTGTTCACCATCATGACCCCAACCTGTAAACAGGAGGAGGTAACTGTATCAAGCATTTTTTTTACTATCGAGCACTAAGAATAGTCGAGCGTTGCTGTCCTACCAACAGCTCTTGTTTTGTTTCCTTGCCATCATAACAAATGTAAGGACTAATTCTATGATATGTGCAGGTAAATTTGAATATATATGGTAGTATTTTGGCAAACGTATAGCATTACAATTTTATCATACATGTACTCATGATTAATATTGATCATGATTAATGTTTTTAATCATATGAGGGTTGATTATTTTTTATGTCATTATCTAAGTGCAAAGACTTGTCATCATATCTAGAAAGTTTAGAGAAGTTTTGCTGTGGTAGAATATATTACATATTGTGTGATATTTGTTAGTATTTTAATTATAGAAACATTGCTCTCTTTTTAATTGAAAAGGTTATGGCTTTGCTAACCTGACTTGGGTGGGTGGGCCTGGTATGTTGAATGACTGATAAAGATAGTCTTAGGAAAACATCATTCTGTCTGATGAACCTGTCCAATGTATTGTAAAGATTGATAGTGATAAAGGGAAAGGATTCAAATGAATACCTTATACCTGTATTTTGAATGGTTTACAACCAAAAATTTGTAAATTAATGTCTATATGGTAAATTGTATACACCATTACTTTTCTTTGATACTTGTATGTTAAATCTCATTAATAACAATTAACACCTGCATAAATAACAAATAATATTTAAAAATGCAAAGATAATGCAGGTACATGCAATTTTAGTCGAACATACCTCAATAAGATTTTACTACAAGATTTATTTTAAGACTTGAATATGCTAGTAAAGTCCGGAAATGCATGGTGGAAAGTGTAGAAAAAATAGAAAGCAATGTTTCTTGTTTGTTGTCATGGTAACCTTTTATTTACTAGTTTAATGTTCACCAGTGATTTATCATCATTTTGTTTGTACAGAAAGTTTTTGGTATAAAGTCATTAAAGACCTAGTTTTGTTTTTAAAGTAGGATTATATTTGTTGCTGTGGAAACGTTTGACACAGGGAGTTAATATACAAGTTTATTAACTTGTTTGTTAGGGGTATAACATACTTATTGCATGATATTACTGTGTGTTTTCATTTACATATTTCCTCACATGTCATATCCTACATTATATTTGTTGTATTTTTTTTCTCTTACTATTTTTGCATTGTGCCATTCTAACACACTCAATTGTGAACATTTTCATATATGCATTGAATTTTTTTTGTATATGGGTATATTGGAATTTGGAACAAGATTTATGCATAATTTTGCGGGTAGCGGCCAGTTTCTAAGGCAGGGAGAGAGCAGAAGAAATGTCAGTATTAGATAATGGGAGCTTAATTTTTGGTGTTATTTTTGTTATAAGAGTGCGAGCTTATAAAGATTTTAGTTTTTAATCATCAAAACGTTTTTGTAACAACTTCAGCCTACGCAATGATGAAATTTTGATGAAGAACAAAACTGTGTTAGGAAACATCAAGATCAACTTTGTAATAATGGTTTTACTGATTTTGTTAATATTGAACATGAAAAAAGTAGGTCACGCCCGAAAGAAAAATATTGGTTTACTTTAAATTGAATGTGATTATGGAAGAAAACTTGCTTATAATCTCATGAACTTGCTGTTGCAAGCATTGTATTCAGGAAGTTATGTGTTACCAACTGTATGTCTAAAATTTTATTGAAACAAAATAATTATTAAAAAATAATAATAATCATCATTTTAAACCAGTGTTCTGAGGAGTAACCAATTAAATTGACTTGTGTTGTCTGTGTTTTACATATTTCAGCTTCATAGTGATTAACAGAAAAGTATTGCTTTTGAAATAACAAATTTAACAAGGTTATAAAAGGAAAGATTGGGGAGACAGGGATGGGGTGGGGGTTTGGGGATAGATGTGAGTTTGCATTATGAAAATTAAACATTGTATGTGTGCAAGGATGGTAACAGTGTGGGGAGCCGATCTGTTAGTGAGTAGGCAAGAACGCGAGTCCTGTCACTTTCATCTGGTATGTTTCACAATTTGTGAATAGTGTAAAGCTTTTTCCATCCAGCTTATTATTTAGAGTTTTAAATTGTTGACAAAATTTTAATATTTCTTTTTTAAAGGTGCTTGTTTTATGTTTAAAAAATGATTATTGCAGGTTTTTATTCCGATTTTCTTTTAGACTTCAGGTATGAAGTGAATGTCAGTTTTTCAAAAATATTTAAAGCATTGATTTCTGCTCTGAACAACTTTTTCTTGAGTGAATAGTTTAGACTTAAAATTTTGTGACATAAAGATGATCTAGAATTCAAAGAGAGTGTACAAGAAAGTGTCAGGACAGAGAGAAAACTAAAAAAACTCGGGGAGGGTGCGTGACTGATATTTTGTAGTGAATGTTTCTGTTTTTAAAGTTGATGTATGACTGACACCAAATGATAACATGACAGACATTGTGGTATATATAATATATTTATATTTATATAATATTAATGACACCAATATCAGGGAATCTCAAAACATTGAACATTGCATGTATTGATTTTTGTATATGTCATTTCTTATATATATCATATATGAATATTGAGGTTTGATCAATGCAAAACTGTTAACTCGTGTTTAATCGCTCATAAGTTTGAAAAAAAATTCATTAAAAAATTGTACATGACAGTTAAGACTGTACCAGATTCAGTCATTATTTTATATCAAGTGACGAAATTTAACATGTCGGAAAATACACAGGTTTTGGGTAAAGTTAAAATAAGTAGAAATTCAAGAAACTCAGTTTAGTATAAAGAATATTGCATTAAAGTATGTTACAATTTCTGTTTAATATTTTTTTACTTAGAAATAATTATTCTTGGCTGTTACTCTTTTTCTTTTTTGTAAAGAAACATTTTTCAGAATCTGATGACAATTTTAGATCAAATTTGCATATATCTAATTTAGTACATCATTAAATAGTTTTATATGTATGAAATGAACTGGCAGTATCATGCATATAAAGTACAAAGACCAATGTATGACAATATTTTTAAACTTTTAATTAAAAGAAAAACCCAAACTTTTATGACATAAGATCTAGTTTTTAGACTTGATTTATTTATAGTGCTTAGGTAAGTGTAGTCACATATGTTGGATGATGCAAAAGGATACTACTGGGTTTTTATTTCCTAATGACCTGTCCTTTATATTTTCAAACATGACTTCATAATCTACAAAAATGTGAAGCTTCTTTCAAAGGGATAGTTAGATGCTCATTGAAAATTATTTATTGTTTTATTTGGTGGAAAGAAAACTTAAGAATTAGATATTAGAATTGAAATGTTCCAGCCTAACTTGTTTACATAAGTTGTTAGGTTCATCACATTTTTACTCTATATTTAATACTACCGTATTTACTCTCATATAATAACACATGGTTTTTTGCTTCAATTTAAACTGTTATAAAACTTCGCATCTTATAAATGGATCACACAAAATAATGAGAAACAAAAAAATGGATGAGTCCATGTTAAAGCATTTTATCCTTGACTTGTTTATTTGTAATCAAAACATTTTATAATTAATCATAAATACAGTATTTTTTTCTTTTAAACAGTTATTATCATGTAAGAAACTTGGATTTAGTGACTTGACTTTTAGTACAAACATCTTGAGTAGTTTTGAAGTGCTTTTTCATTTTCGGAAAACTTACAATTGAATGAAAGTGTTAATTGTTTCACCCAATTTTTGTAGATATTTTAAACGCCTTTCCCTTTAAGTAACTGATAGTTATCAGTCTTTGAACTTTGGAGAGATATTTAAATAGGATTTCCTGTCTACTCAGTGTCTGATTTATTTATAGATGTTTGTGACATGTATTGTATTAAATGGCAAATACACTAATCAGATATTGTTTTTATCAGAAGTGGTTAGATTTATCTACTTAAATTATATATAGATTGAAGTTTTAGTTGAAAAGTTACTAATACCTCTTGTTAGCATTTTACTGTATTATAAATTCTAAGAAAATTTGAGGATATTTATTTCCATATTGCAAGATTAATTTGTTTAAAACTGCTTTATTTGATCTATAATTAGTTGCAGTTACTTCCCTTGGACTGTAGAATGTATGAAGGATTATATCATGTTATGTCATGTTAAATTGATTGTGTTCAGTTAAGATATATTTGTGATAGTGACAGAGGGTTTCATTACAATTTATCAAAAGGGGGATTTTTGTGGTGTTGCTCACAATCAAAACAGATCTGGACTATTAAAATATTTTACAGCATATAAAACTTGTTCTTGTTTCTTTGTTTGGTTTTTTCCCCATTTATTTGTGAACAGTGTCCTGTCTTCAAAACAAAAGAGTGATACTTACCAGTTTGATGGTGTACAAGTACAAATATAAATATTGACCTCTACAAGTAATGGTCAACTTCTTCACCTGAAACATTGAGAGAAGCAGTTGCTTATAAATGATTTGTCTTACACTGCTGACATTGTATATTGAACTTCTTGTGCTGTGTGTAAGTTACCCATTATAAGTTTGAAGAATTTCAGTATTAAAATTTATACCAGTATCAATTAGCTGTTAACTTAATAGACCCCTTGAGTGGTTACGGTGGTTGACTTCAAAACCAATTAACTCTGACTGCTATGGGTTTGAGCCACACAAGAGTTGTCGGATTCTACATGAGCTAGCTTATGAAACATCCCTGGTCAAATGGAATATTTAACCATCAAGCAAAATAATAAAATTATTGGCATGTTGGTCAGAGCTCAATACAACAATACAAGCCACAAATTAATTATACATGTAGGTTATTTCATATTGAACTGAACAAAGCAGGAATATATTTTGACATGCCACCAGGCGAGTCTAATATGATTTCTCAAGCTATGTATGAGTCCAAATATATTCCTGTATCGTATCTATAACCTGTTTATTCAGTATCTCATATTGTGGAAATGCAAACTGACCTAATGTTACCCTCAATTTTGTTTTTAACAGCTTTTATCATTGACGTCACATCATGTGACATGGAAACGGTTAAACATGCTCCACTGCTCAATAATGGAGAATTATATTGGACACTACAATTTCCAAAATGGAAATAAACTGGATGATCATGTTGTTGCGATTTTAAAGCAGCGATTGACTGGTACTGATTAATATATCGTATTTTATCAAATACATTTTTTTTGTAAATATATATTTATATTTTAGTAAACAATAGTAGGACTACTCGTATTCTACTCTCCTTGGCAACACTTGGTTTAAAGTTAATGGGCAACACGATGTTACGTCCAATATTTCACCAATCACAAGAGATATTTGCTTGTAACTTCACTATTATAAGAGGTCACTGTTCAAGGGCAATAACTAAAACATGGATTTTGATTGAATTATAGCCCTTTGTGAATGTTGAAAATTATAATCAATCTTTATACTACTGAAGATATACACTCTCCAAGATTATAATTGGAAGGACCAAGAACTCTTGACATAGATTTTGACAAATTTATGGCCCTTTGTGAACATAAGAAATTCCTGGAGCAGCATCAATCTTCTTACTGATGGTATTCACAGTAATCTACAGGATTATAATTGTTAATCATTTCCAAAGACCTGTATCTCTGGCATGGTACTTTAATAAAATCTTCACTTTGTACATTATAAAGTAATGTAGTAAAATTGTGCTGTTCAACTGACATCTTGATTTTTTATACTTTTCCTAAATACATACATGCATTATCTTCAACACAATCAGTTGGAGATGTTAACTTAGACACGCCTTTTCCTGTAAACAAGCTATTTTTCTTTCAACAAGCCATTTTCGTGTAGGATTGAGGCAAAAAAACAAAACAACTCGAATAATAGTTTTATAAATTTTATTGATGTTTTTCCTACATTTTACATTTTGCTGCATCTCACAATGTTTTTATGGTGTAACACATAAGATGTAAAAGCAAACACAGTTGTAAATTGTCAGCCTTCTCCATTTAAAAAGCACATGCAATAAAAAATAATGATTGTTTCACTGTCAGGCATGGCTTATACATTGTACATAGATTGTTACAATATCTAATTTCTTTAATACAGTTCTAATATATTGTTATCCATGATACATATTAAAGTGTCCATTGCATACCCAATTTTTTTAATTTTCTCTACTCACTTTTATGTCATCTTTTATCATATTGATGTAAATTAATGAGGCTGAAATTTTTTGAGTACCTTTAAAGTTGTAATAGGATCAACTTGTTCTAGGTTATACCAAGTATCTAAAAAATTCTTTAAAATCTAAAGATCAACCCAGATTTCTTCATTTCTGTCAAAAAAGTACAGTATCATCTTGATGATTTTTAAAAGATATTTTCTTTCCATAAACTCACTGACACAGTTGCTTTAACGATGTTCGATCATTTTTTCTTAAAATAAAATTCAATGATAATGTAGCTTTAATCTACTTAAAACTATTTAACCTTCAAACACGAGATAAAATTTATCTCGTCGTCAACTTTACCTTACTTAGGGTTGCTCGCTTCAAATCGGTCTGAAATGTAAGGCCCTCGATCCTCTCCAATGCCCTAATGAGAATTATCAGCCTAAATTCAGACTTAAAAGACCTATTGTTTGATTCAAGTCCTTGGAGACTATTATATGCATAAACTATACTACATGCAAAATGTTCTATGCAAGTACATTTAACCTTTTCTTCTTGTTAACAATGTTGAAGCGTCTTTGTTCATTCGGTCTGTTCACTATCTTACAAATAAGTTGTCTTTGTCGGTCAATCAGTAACGTTTCTTTGATCATTTAATCCCTTAACTGTTCATAACAGCTATTTTATTTGCCGACTGGCAACTCCAGTCGGTCAGTTTGTTTGTCCGTCTGTCAGTCAATCGTGAACAATATTTTGGTGTTTCTTATTTAGGAGGCATAATCTCAGGTAACAATGACAGATTATAAAGAGGTTATTCCCCACCTCCAGATTTTTACGACCTGAGAGAATTGAGTCCTCGAATTCGCTCGTAATATATCAAAGGTTGACAACATGAAAATTAAGGCCTACGGTAAAAACGTAGGCTTTTTTAACATTGCAAAAACATTGGATAAAAATCTTAACATGAAAGATTTATTTCAAAAACAAAAAATATAAACAAATGAAAATACTACAGGCATGAAAAAGACAAATTAAAAACATAGCATAAACAACACGCAAAACATGACGTTTTAACTTCTAAAAAAAAAGAGAAACAAACAAAAAATCACAAAAATATAAAATAGCATTACTACTGTAACTAACTACATATTTCAAAACAGGATTTTTTTACACTTAATTTTTAATCAAATGCAGAGAAACCAAATTATGCTAAAACATGTTCTTTTTACTTCTGGCCGTATGTAACATCATTACGATCCGAAAATTTAATTTCCGGTCATCGTAAACAATTAGGAAACCCTGACTGTGAATAATTACTGAATGATAATTAGCGAAATAAAAAAAAATCTTCACGCAATTGTATAGGCTCGATTTAACATTGTTCGTGGGTTGCGACTATTTCTATTTCTTTTCGCGAGACGCGTCGCATAAAATCCTGTCATGAAGAATGTGAAGTGGAAAAAATCTACAGCACATGGAGGCTTGAAGTTTATAAGCTCAAGCAATGTAACTTCTTAGGCAGTAATATAAATGATATACACATTTTGCAAGTTTTTTTTGGAACACGATAGATGCACATAGCTAAAAATGCGTGGCATATGAACACCATTTGCATTATATGCTCATCCTTAACTAGACATAACTTTTCAACACAACATGTAGACACATATAATATATATGTCAAAATCCAGTACAACTAGTTCAGATTTACCAGTATTTTACACATCTTTCCTTTTCCACATTGCCTCCTTTTTACAATTTTTTTTCTCAACATTTATAAGATTTTTGTTTTTTCACCTTCACTTTATCATTAACATTACAGGTGCAGACAAACAACAATTTTCATAACGAAAAACTGCATTAATATGTTTACACAATGCATATCGATTTTACATATGTGTACAAAAATTAATCATATTAAGCACATAAAGGAAAGAATATAGGTAAAAATGCATTATACACAAGAGAAACGTAATCTACACAGATAGAGAGGAAAAAGCCGAAAATGTTCAAATTTAATAAATCCTATATAAAAACAGTAACTAAAAGTTAATATATACAACTAAAATGAGAGAATGATGTATATTATATTTAAAATGACAACAAAAATGAGAGAAATAACCTAAGTGTGATATATATATATCTATCAACACGTTCTTTCAGTCAATGACCATTCTTAAAATCACATGTCATGATGCAACTATGTGTAAATATATGTGTAAAAATGTAGCATCGTCGAAAACAATGCATCCAAATGTTATCATAAAAGCATACTTATGTACAACATATTTTCATCAAAACAAATAATATGGTTAATGCAACAAATAGTCGAACAATCTCTAAGAACATATTTTTTCTTACATTATTCAGTTGCAGATATATGGGCAAGATTTAAACTTTTTAAAAGAGATCAAATTAACAAAATCTTCAACAATCTGCTACGTATACTGAAGAGGAAAAAAAAAACAGCGTTAAAAGAAACAAAGCCAAGTTGAAGCTTTGAACAACAGTATAAAAAAAACTGAGAAAGTAATAAATTACATATATTACATAAAATAAAAAAACATGGTTCATAAAAATTTTGCCAAATGCTATTTTATGAAATGAAAAAAAACAACAACAATAACACAAGTGAAATAAACGTGTTGAAATTTTTTCCTTAATATTTGGACATCGAAAACATATGTAGTCCAAGCGCGACTATTTATAATCAATATATATGTAAAAACAATGTATATATATAGATAGATATATATAACGATAGCACAAAACACGTAAACATAAACATTAAGCACAGAAATAGCATTTAATAAAGATCACACAGTTTGAATAGAGAACTTAGACACACTTTCAACCAATCCAAAAATATCATTTACAATTATAAGTAACAGTTGAGAAAAACGAAAAAAACGTCAACTCGCATCTCCCCCCCAAAAAACATATTTTAAATCTTATAATAAACTTAAACATACATTTAATGTAAGTGTTTAGGCAAATTGACTATATCAAATAAATACTCACAAAGTGAAGTAAACAAATTTTATATAATTGTTACAAAGTCAAAGCGTAAAAATTACACAAAAGAATTCACGTTTTGAAAACAAGAACTCTTCATTTTTAGCAAATGCGGCAAAAAAATATATGGAATATATAGTTTTCAAAATATACTTTTTTCAACAAAATTTGATTCAACAATTCAGAGTGCCCTATTTTCTGTCCCTGGAAATATATAGTAATTTTTCTACTTCATTCATGTACATATACACATACAAAACATGTAAAATAAAAAATACACGCCACTGTTACAATCGCAGATCTCTTTAGTGGAACAAAACTAATGACACATGCTTAAGTTCAGTATGAAGGGATTTTGGACGTTTTTATTCCAGACAAAATTCAAACTTTTTAATAACTTATCAATATTGTTTTTTGTCATTAAAGAAAGGTCATCTCTTATAACCAATTTAGAAACACGACTTTTCGGAGAAAAAACATTGCCATGTTCAATGTATTATAATAAAGGTACATTTCTATTTGTAAAAATGAATTTCAAACACAAAACAACGCTACAACTTATAGTCAATAACATCTCACTCAAAAATCATGAAAAAATAATGGAAAAAATATCTGTACAGCATTTTACATTTACACATTATACAGATCTGTATGACCGATTCCTTTTGGACAAAAAAATTTTTTTTCTCTTATACTGAACACGATAAAGTAACAAGGCCAGTCAATCAAAATTTTGTTCCTGTGGCCTCTTATAATGCCCATTTGAACATATTTTCTAAGCCTACCGAACCTTTCCTTTTTTTTGTCAATAAAAACAGGACATAATGGCAAATAAAGAAATTCCTGTTACAAACTTATTATTCTCAGACACTTTTACTATAAAGTGTTCTCAAAAAGCATCAAAGTTCAGCTGACAAAAATATGTTATATATTCATATATGCTTATCATTGTAAACGTGTTTTCCCTAAATAAACATTACTCAAATACACAACAAGAATTACACGCTTACAGCTGCTCCGGAACGAAGCTTTTTCTCCACAGATGACCGAGATTATTTACAAAGAAATTACATAATAATATCAAGGACTATTTACATTGAAAACGAGATCATGCGATACCCGACTGACCCTTATATACTAAAAAAAAACAAAAAAAAACAAAAACAGGTCTTTTATTTATATAAATATGAAAAGAAAATATTCCAGTTAATATTTAAACAAAGGCTTGCAGTAAGTCCAATTCAATCTAGTTGTAAATGAATTGTAAGCAATCTAGATGCCCAACCCAACCCTGTACCACCCTCCCCCCTTCCCACACCTCCCTTCGTACAAATAAATATGAAATGAAATCTTCGAAGTTATATAAATTGATCTTCTATAATCTTTTCTTAACATTACATAACAGACCTTGAAGAAAAAATACCTTATACCTGATAAAAATAACATCTTTTCATATTATACCACTATTTGGTTATAATTGCATTATATCATGAACAAAGCATGTTAAGTAAGTTTTTTTCAATAATTGGCAAGCATTCATATATATAAATATATCAATTATCATAGTTGACCCAAATATTGAACTCTGGTGTGCTAATTGCATACATTATTTGGCCTTTTCTTGCTATCTAGATTCTATCAAGGTCGTCCACCTGTTTGCCGCTGATAACGAAAACCGGTATTATCCGATTTTGTCTTGCACGATGTCTTTCAGTTCAAGAGTACTGTATGTCAAAGATAACAAACGGCCTACTTTGTTAATATGACGAGACAAAATATCTTTAAATTTTTAAAGTACCTCTCGAGCCTATTTATGTACAAGGTCGGTTTTTCGATATTTTTCCAAGATATCTTAAACATTGTTATCAAGTTTAATTAAATTCTTCAAACAACTAATTTAGCGGACAACCAGGTAGTTTTTTCATTTTAGTAACAAAGGCGGAAATTCAATTTTGTCAGACAACAAGAAACAGTTTGCATTTATTCTCGACTCCAGTTTCCAACATTTTATCCTATCACTTTACAAATGATCACCCTATATTTCCTTGACAAATAAGTTATCTACCAAATCATTATATTCCAATATTTCCTTAAATATCAAAAGAGCTATTTCGATACAATTTTTAAAAAAATTATTATCATCTATTGATCACGAATACAATGTTTGACAATAGAATAAAAAAGAACTTTATGCAAGCATTTGTGATGAAAACATTATGACATTATTTTAATAGCACTTATAATAGATACATAAAATCGCGTTCAGCAAAATGAACAGTTACGTCAGAAAACATGTACATAATATGTTAATGAACCATCTTAATCATGTGGCCGATTATCTAACGTACTAACTAAATCATACATCTGATCATTATAAATGATTAATATCCATGATTTACATGTAACGCTACATTTCTGTTACCATATAATTGTGCTTTTTTTCTATGAGAACAATATTTTGTATGATTAACAACAACAACTAAGCAACTTGATTCAAACAAAAACAATTAATTCTGTTCATATTCAAAAGAGTTTTTGCTGACAGGATAAAAATATGCTTCCAAATCCAGGATAATCTTGTATTACGAAAATGTAATCATTTGACTGCATAACTTTCTGATCTTGTCAGCTCTTATTATATAAAAAAAAATCTTACAAAAAATGACATCAGACTGTTATTCTACATTATACAACAAATTCTCTACATGTTCAAGTAGATTTTAATACTCTTTAAGAATATTGTGTCATAATAGGCCAATGTGAAAAAAAGATACTTTTTTTTTTTGATAAAAAAAAAAAAAAAAAAAAACATGAAAATGAAACAAAATACAAGCTCAAGAAAACATATGTTCATTTTGTTTCTTCAAAAAATGACAGAAAAATATTAAGAAAACTGAATGAAAAGCAAATTTTCTGGTCAGCAAATGTAGCTATTTACGTACAGTTGTAAATGTACATCAAAAAAGGCCAAGTATTCAAAGTTTCTCTAACAAGGAAACTTAAAACAGTTTCTTTTTTATAATATCATTAAGCGGCCTTTTAAACACTGAGAGAAAAAAGAAGAACAAAGAACAAACACTTGTGTTTATATGCATAAAAAACAACATATACACAACATATTTTATAGCGTAACATATTATCAAAGTCACTGTCAGTAAGTGTTCGATTAATGGTTCATAACCTTAAAAGAAAAAAAGTTATCTACAAAACAAACAATAATCCCACTTAGTTTTAAATCCCTGATTTAACTTTCTCTTAAAGGGGCATTAATATCTATTTTATTTAACGTTACGTTACACAGCTTTCTAGGGGTTTACTTGCCCGTAAGACATCGATTTTCACCCTTCAGCATAACACGACCATTATGCAACGTTATTTTCCCCACTCTTAACAAATATACGGAACAAATTGCACCAAAGCATGCTTCAGCTTACATGATTTAAACATTAAAACATCGTATTTGTTTGTAAACTTTTCAATAACTTTCTAGACACGGCCATTGAACTTAGGGCTTCAGAAAGATACATTACAGTGATATACATTGCACCAATGTTCTGAAATAGCCTCCATTCAGAAACTTCGCTGATTTCCGGTAAATCTTCCGGTTCGAACCACCATTCTGTATCACAAAACATTTTTCTGAATCTGTTTTGTGAAACAAGGCGTCAACAGTCTCGAATTCCATATTCTGTCACATCGAAACAGAATCATAGAATTTTAAACTTCAAAAAAAAATGTTTTACTAAAATTGTTAAATAGTGCTTTCACAGTTTTCTATTTTTAACGTTTCTTGTTCCGGCTGAGTAAGTTCCTCGATATGTACAATTTTCAGTTTATTTTCCCGTCTCTCCTCCCAACGTTTCACCTTTGGCAACGGGAATCCCAGGAGGCCTCCCACAACTAGCAGAACACCAACAAGATAGAAGGCAACATTTCCCTGCAGAATATCTGAAAAACACAAAACATCTCCAACTATAAACAATGTACGTTTCGTTTCAGGTAAACTCTTAAAATTTAAAGACCGAACTAAACAAGAAATTACAGGATTTAATTTCAAAAGTGTTACATCTAATTTTTTAGATTCACACCAATCACATTCTGCATGTATCTTGAGATATCTTGTACCAAGCCCTAATGGTTTCACGAGTTAAGATCTCATGCATACTGGCCAAAAAATTCTAATGACAGACTTCCGGAAAGACGCGGTCTTTATCTAAAGTGGTAAACTGTCTACAATCTGCGAACAATCAATACACCACTTCAATAAATTAGTCCAACCTAAATTATCCATTATGTTTAATATCACACTATGAACAACAGCAGAGAGATAATGGCCATCCCATACCACAAATATAGAGACGAGCCAACCTGCACTTTGTCCACAGGCCAACCTGAGCATTTCAATAAGGCCAGCCTCCGCATTCCTACAGGCCAGCCTGTGAGCAACACACCAACCAGCACATTCCAACAGGCCAACCAGCACATTCCTACAGGCATATTTCAACAGCCTGGTATGACAGTATTAACTTTGTTTTTCGTTATTCAACATTGAACTGAACTCATAAAACAGTCTATTACACTTAGTTAATTAAGGGTGGGGGATGAGTGTGACGGGGATTAAAGGTTAAGATTTTTTTAACAATCCGAACAATCCATAAACAATGAAAAATGAGATATAAAACCAATTTTCTCCAAACTGAATGTGCTGTTGATTATGTAAGTAAGTGGGTGTAAAGTAGATATAACCACATCTATATAACAGTTAAGTTTACTGATGCCAAACACAAAGTGTGAAGTCGACAATAAACAAGGCTCATCAAATAAACCACATTTGATAAAGTACAAGTAAAAACATCAGTTTGATCTCGAGAGATGTCAATTACTATGTACTGAAAAACCGCCATTTCATCATATTTCATATTAATATTATATTTGTTTCCCAATGATACACAATTTGTATCAATTATATATGCATGTGCATTAATTTAATTGCATTTGCCGAGAATGCCATTATCTATACTAAAGTCTGTATTGCTTGTTTTGTTTGGTTTTACCGCGCACCAACACAATTGCGAACCAACACAATCAAAGTCATAATGGCCCTGAAACAGGAAAAATAATTTTGGTTAACCTTGAGTGTTACAAACTTATTTAAGCTCATTTAAGAAACAAGTTCTTGCAACTTATATTTATCACTTTCAAGTCTGCTTCCTTAAACCAACCATTACTGGTGTCATATGAAAAAACATGGTCGTGACCCAATTCGGACTTGAACCCATGATCCCTGGGTTGAGAGGCAGACACCTTAACCACAAGGCCACCGCTTTACTGCTGGTACCTCAACTTTCGTGTTTTGACAAAGAAATCTTTTAAAAATTTATCAATCGGACAGTTCCAAATTCAAAGCAGGGAAAATCCATTACGCAAATTCAGCAGGTTAAGTCAAAGTGTGAAGATATAAAAGAATTCATTGTTTCTGGAAGGACTCAAACCAACAGTGGCCACGGTCATTATAAAGATTTGTATTCTGGCACCTAAACCTCCAAGTCATGGAGGTTACTCAAAGCAATAGTGGATATTTGCTTACTCATACACCGTCATGATGGTTCACTAAAGGGTAAAGGAACTAAGAAGAGTCAAATGCCAATAACGCTACGCTTTCCTGACAGACTTAAAATTTCACAAGTAATGTCAAAGTGTAACATTAAATTTGATACTAACACGCTTTTAATGAAGAATGTCAAATTCACAAAAACATACACCCACAACGCTTTGTTATGGCAGTAAACGCGTACAAAAACCACCAATCGAAAAAAAACGAGGAAACTTACCGCTGAGTTCATATCCGAGTAATATGGCAAAGCCTTGAAAGAACGTAAGTAGACCCATAGAAGAGATGAGGCGATCCTTGCCGTAAAGTTCAATCAGCACAATGGAGCGGAGTGCTAAAAACGTCGCTGAAATACACAAATGAAGAAATCAATATGACAGTAATATGAAATAAATTAAAATTCTAAAAATCAAGTTTCCTTCAGTCATAAGAGAGTTTTCATACCTATCTTCAACATTTAAAATGTCTACCTCTTAAACTTGCATTGGTCATTTCTTAAACAACGTCCTTCAGTTCAGTGACTGACATTGCAGCCAGTGCCCTGGTTAAACCCCAAATTTACAGAGGGCAAAAATTCCAATCCAATTCCCCTGCATTGCAAATGAGGCTAATATATGCTCCACAATTTTGGCATAACCCCCATTTTCTGTTGATGCGATCACTTTTTTATCACAACAATGCATTTTGTTGGTTTATAAATCAATGTATATAATATTTTTTTTATATTTTTTTTTGATCTGTTAATAATATTTTTTGTATTTTTTAAGATACTTCTGCTGACATTTTTCCATCTGTCAAAGTGAAGGTTACCTACATATCACATTAACCTTGATATACTAGATTAATTTCTAGTTATAATTTTTTTTCTGTTCTTTTCATCAAAGGTGCAGCATTGATCTAAATAAATATGGGTTAATAACATAAACACACATTCTATGTTGTGACATATTTGTACTTAAAACTTATCTTTAGCGTGCTAGCGCAACTTATTTTTCACGTGCTCCCGGTGCAGAGCAAGATCAACTGGATCAGCCTGTACATCAATACAAGTGATCATTATCTGCACTATTTTTAGTATCCAGTTTATATTCATTTTAAATTTTCCATGAAAAAAATGATGAATGGTTTTGTCCAGACTGAAAGATGGACAAAGTAATAATTGCATATCCCATGCATTTGTTGTCTATGTGAAATTTTCAGATGGATCGAGACAAGCACATCTTTAGGTGAAGTGGCAAGGTTTTAAGAGTACACACACACCACAATCCCCCCCCCCCCCTTGGGGAATCCAATAAATAATGCCTATAAAACCAGTGATTATCATTCACAATATGTCCTTGGGAATACATACTGTTTACCTCAATGCACTTCAATGCCTTAAATAATGCCTAAAGTCTCTTTAATGTAAGGTAAACATATTTATTCTTTAATCAATCAAAACTAGCATTATACTCCTTCAAACAATTTATGCTTACAATATAGCATTTATTATTAGTGCAAGGGCGGAACTTTGCCAAACAGATTCAGGCACATCTCAGGTTTTGACCTAAAAATAAGACACAGTATCTCCAAATCTCGAGAGAGGCAGTTTTTGAATAGTATTCGTTGGAAGAAACATCACTTTAGATATTTCTCACCAGGTGAATATCGTGGGAAAGAAGCAGCTCTCTCTGCCGACTACATTTCACTTCCATCAAACTATCAAACTCTATTACCAGGAAACCTCATTACATAAGAGTCTTATGTAAGTCTTACCATAGTGCTGTGTGTTTGCCTTTTTTTTTAAGAGGAAATGAATCGGTGGGTAAGGGGTATGGGGAAGAGATTCGATATACATGCAAGGTTCCTTTACCTTAAACAATATATTCAGACTCATTTATAGACATATGAAATTTCTAAAATATTTACGGCCACTTTGAACAAAGATCCCTTTTACATTTCCCCTGGCAAGTTTGACTGTATATCAGCTTATTTATATTGACATTTATTCAAACACCACTTTCACAGTATATATTAATATATAAATTTACCTGTAAAAAAAAAGTCTAATTAAATTATATATTTACCACTGAACAGTCCAAAGAATGCGGCATAGAAGCCCAGCCAGCTGTTATTGTTAAAGAACTGTCCAAACAACGACAAAAACCCTGCCAGCACGATCATTGTATTGTTCAGCTGTATAGCACTTGCCCACGGTCGGTCCGCCACCCAACCGAATGCAAAACGACCAATCATATTCGCCACCCACAATATTGAGATCAGGAAGGAGGATTTCTCTTGTGAAATACCAAGTGAAACAGCTTTCTTTGGAAGATGGACTAATGGAATGACACAAGCTGGAAAAAAACAACACATTTTGTTATAAATAATACTGTGAATCCTATCAGATCTGTATAGTGGAATTGTACCACTTTTGAATATTTTTCCATTGTTAAATAATTTGATAAAGAGTTTGTGAGAAGTGTACAGAATAGTATAACACTGGCTATTGTCTTGCAGGCATAAGCATGCTTTTTAAGCTAAGAGAGTTAAATAAAGTGATGAGAGTTTTTTTCATATTGACTCATTCATTCAAAAGAAGCTGTATTTTTGTTTGTACTGTAAACAAATCCAACAGGATAAATCTGGATCATAATGAACTTTACTTGACCTTTTTAAGTCAAAGGTCAAGGCGCAACTTACAAATCTTATACATTCCTCGCCCCTTGCTCTCTCTTTCTCTCTCTCCCTCTCATTTATCAATTCTTTAAATCCAATAGCTCAAAATTTGTCAATACTTTTACTATTTGAACGTTATCTTTAAATAACTCAATTCAGAATTCTCTTCTTAACCTAAAACTGAATAATGGGCTTGCCCTGCATTGAATTTGGGAAAGTCCATAGTTGATTCAAGGGATATCAATATTCAAAAATTTAAACTAAGCAGACTTGACTCGGTTACTGGCACATAAACACGGCTTAATTACCTATCAACATGTTTTAATAAAATCCCAGTTAAATATAAATTATGAAGTAAATTATGTCGAAAAGCACATTAATAATACATTGACTTCTGATGTAAAAATAAGAAACGTAATAAAACTCGAGCAGGATGAACGTTATTAAACATCAAGGTTTGGGCGATAAATGTAGTCAACTATTCGCAATAGCAGTGTTAAACTGTAAAAACTGGGTAGAATTCAAGGCTTTTGAGCGACATAAATATGACACATTTCTAGTAAACAACATCTGTTTGTTACAGTCAGATATCTCGGTCAACTCGCCGATATTTCATACTATACAATATTTATAATTTAACAGTACAGATTGTATACTGACAAGCAAAGAATTTCTCTGATATAAATTTATATAACAGCATCTGTGACCAAATTAATTTAAAAATGATTAAAAAACATTCAGATTCGGAGATTTTTAAAAGGCTGATAACAAAGTACATTTTGGTGTCATGTGTTTATCGTGGATGTATACTTCATTTAAACGAATATTCTACAAGGTAGAACATTTACATAAATGTGTGAATAATGCAAACACGTGTAAAATGCGTCCATGACATTTTAAACAGCCCGCCTCTTCTATAGAAAAGTCACATTAATTTGTGGATCATCCCCTCGAAAATGGTGACATAATTCTTAATGTAAACTTTTTTACTTCAAATTAACCTTCTTTTAGGACGGCCATTAAAATTTCAAGCCATTAAACCCCCAACTTGAAAAATTCATTTATTAACCTCGACCTGAAGCTATAAAAATAATCAAAAACAATTTAAAATTTTGATGATTAAAATAAATAAAAGTAATATTTCGCAATGTTACGAATGATTAAAAGCATAGGCCCTGGGCCAGTGTGAAATTTGCGTTGAAGATGTGCTAAATTGACCTCTTTACACACCAATCTTCCTAATATACTATATTCCAATTAAAAATTCCAATTTTCAAAACAAAGTCCATATATGCTATATAGTTATAAGACAAAGGTCAGTAACGAGCGCGTAACGCTATGGGAACGCTTCCTCTCTCGGCAAAACTTGTGGAACATTAGAAAACCTTGCATTTTACAATATTAGCCGCTTGTACAAACGTTTCTACGCTCCAGACATTTAAAGTATTGAATTTATGCAATTGATTTACCCTACAAATCAAGTTGAATTTCCACTTATGGTTGCACAACGCCGATTTGTTTCGTTTTTTTTTCTACTTTTCGTCGCTTTCACCGACCATATTGCGAAAAAAGGGGGAAAACTCCGTACAACCGTCACTATCCAGGGCTCGGTAGTAGTTAAACTACTATATTGTCATCGCTAATCGCGGGTTCGTCCCGCATTAGAACGCGCCAAATTTATGATTTAGAGTGAAACATTAATAAACCAAAAAATGTCAGCGATTGAGTGGTAAGTAAATTATTTTCTTACAGCTTGTTATGTCAATATAACTTTTATTTTACCTTATTGTTCCGAGTTTTTTCAAACTCTGGACTATTTGAAAAACGCTGATGACAGTTTTCCGTCACTTTACCGTACAAGGGGCAAAGACGAAGGATTAGGGGTTTAATTAACGAATAAATATTCTTTATTAAAATTGTGCAATTATGTGATATATGAAATAACTCGACTACGACATTTCCTCTAATCCCTTCGAAACATGTTTACGCAACTCCATAGATAAAGGCAATCAAATGCATTATAGAAGACGCGGACTTTAAACGGTTCGCGCACTTATATAGGAGAGCTGTAAGGAGTAGATAGATACTGTTTATATAACGCATGTAGTAAAAAAACTGAAAAACCAATTAAGTAATAATAATTATTATATATCCCCTCAGTTCTAAGTGCTATTTCCTTTTTTATTTATTATTTCCAGTTTTATTTTGGGAGCTGGTCATTTTGTAACCTGTCCATTTACTGATTTCACCACACTGGTCGATTCATAACCATTCATTTAATTCGTAACTATTGCTTGATCATTTCGTCAACTACTAAAATCTGTAATAGTTTATTACGTTTTTTTTTGACATGTAGCATAAATTATTTGCTAACGTTACTTAATTTGATACATAAAATATAGTAGTTTAATACCTACCGAGCCCGGATAGTGACGGTTGTACGGAGTTTTCCCCCTTTTTCGGCAATATGTCGGTGAAAGCGAACGAAAAGTAGAAAAAACGAAACAAATCGGCGTTGTGGCAATACCAATAAGTGAGAATTCAACTTGATTTGGTAAGGGTCAAAATCAATTGCATATTCAATACTTTAAATGTCTGGAGCGTAGAAACGTTTGTAACATAGCAGCTAATATTTGAAAAATGGCAATGTTTTCTAATGTTCCACAAGTTTGCCGAGAGACGTCCCATAGCGTTACGCGCTCCGTTACTGACCTTGTCTATAACTATAATAGCATATTATGGACTGTTTTTGAAATTGGAATTTTTAATTGGAATATAGTATATTAGGAAGATTGGTGTGTAAAGAGGTCAATTTAGCACATCTTCAACGCAAATTTCACACTGGCCCAGGGCCTATGATTAAAAGTAGGTGAATTGACAAGATGCACTATAAACTCTAAACAGATGTTTACAATAATGACAGAGCTATAAACACTACAGAACTAATTGCTGTTTACATTAACAAGGTCAACTGCCGGGCTGTTTTTCTAACTGTACCTTGTCAGTGACCCGAGTGATCGAAAAGTTTACACAACCGCAGGTAAAAAGTACTTACTACCTAATAATATTACGAACCACATAGGAATGATTTTTCGTGAGGAAAACAACAAACAAATAATTTCTTACCAGCCTCATAAAATTTTGTCATATTAAATTTCGTAAACATTACTTAACAAATTTACTTTCTTATATTGTTCATCTTGAAATGATATTCATCAGAATGCACTTTTAAACATTGTAACTTTAAACCATAGAATAACTATAAGAATATGAAAAACAACTTTCCTATTTTACTGTCAGGGGAAGACCTAAAGTGCCTGTGTATGAGCCTATGCCACTAGTATAATTATAACTATTGATTGCCCTTTGCCATCACTATATATATATAGAACAAATGCACAAAAGGTAGGGAAAGAAGTCATCCTCTATATTTGGGGGAAATAAAGCAATATTTTTGCAAAAAGGGAAGAATAAAACCTGATTTTTAATTCAATTTCATGCATGTGCGATTTTATACAAAAATTTAGAAATGGGAAGTGTTCCTGTAAAAGTCGTCTACTATAGAAGGGAACTAGAAATGTGTCCATAGGACACAAATAACCCTTCCCTGTTTATAGACTAACAGCAGGACACTGACGGGCAAATCTATATGCTACCCATTTAGATATTCCTTAAATTGCATGATAATAGACAGCTGAATTTTTTTTTCAAAGTCTGTAACACAAAATTTAGCAGATTAATACTTAAAATTCATTATTTCAGGGGCTTTAAATCGGCAACCAATATTTGCAATACACACTTAAATTGGTCACCTGAATAGTTTTGAAATACACACTTAAATCGGTCACCTTAATAGTCTTGCAATACACACTTAAATTGATCACCTGAATAGTTTTGAAATACTTAAATTAGTCACCTGAATAGTTTTGAAATACACACTTAAATCGTTCACCTAAATAGTCTTGCAATACACACTTAAATCGGCCACCAGAATAGTCTCGAAATAAACACAGTCTAGCTTCCTGGCATGAAATGCACGTGGCTCGATTGGGATTTAAACCTTGGAATAAGAGCCTATAATTATGATCTTATTTTTATTGAAAATGCATAAAAATTAAAATGTCGGTCAATTTTTTTTCCATGAATACGTAGTAATATCATTTCTACTGAGTATTCAATATATATTAATCACCTGTCAAACTGTAACCTGTACATACTGATACCACATTGAACTATCTCTACTGTACATTACGGATCACTTCACCAGTGTTAAGACGCCATGTATCAATATAATATAGTATGCCTCATATCCGACAGCAGATATGAAATTTCGAATGACTTCAAATAATGTGACATACAAGGAAATACATCGTAACACGTAAATTCAACAAATATGATTTTAGTCCTCTTCATTACGCAAGCTAGCTCAATTTCTTTCAGATGCCATGCTAACTGAGTAACTGCACGAAAACAAAACAATTTTGAAGAAAATAAAATCTTCAGAAAATATTCTGCAGTCTAATGTAGGTACCGTATAGACGTTTATAATTAGAAATGTGACCTGATTTTAGGCAGGTTTTATGCATCAGAAGTGGGCTTCTTGTCCTCTATCAGCACAGGTAATGAATAGTTTACCTCTTTTCACATCAATCAGATTTTATGTAAATAACCCCAGTCAAGGTTCTACGTCCTTTTCTTAACCCTTAACCTGCTAAATTTATGTAATGGACTTGCCCTGCTTGAGTTATGGAACAGTCCATTTAAAGTTTAAGGGTATTCAAAAACAATAAGAAAAGAAACTAAGCAAGCAACAGTAAAGAGCTTGGTCAGACTGCCCACATTTGTACAAACTGACCTGGTTTTATATTATTAAATTTTATCACGGTCAGTTCAAATTGGTTAAGGATCAATATTTATGACAAATTTTCAAAATGGACTTTCCCAGTTTCTACAATTGGAACAGTTCATTTTAGAGCAGTTGCCCCTAGGATGTATTTTTTTTGCACTGTAAAGCTATCATTTATACAATCTATAAATTAATTCAAAATGCTTAAAGCAAACTTTTTGCTAAAGAAAATTCTTATAATCTCCAACTCTGACATAAAATTATACCAAAAGTGTTTGTGTTTTTTTTTGCAAGGAACTGAAAACACTAAAATGTTTACTGCTAATTATTTATACTGATGAGCATCCATGGGTGCACACCAAATGCATTAATTACTGCATCCTTGAAATGTTACTTAATTATATACGGGATGACCTAGATATGTAAAATCTGTGTTAACAAATTTTGCAAACATTATCATTTATATAATTATGGTAAATGTGCGCAACTGCCTCATAAACCTTCGTAAATCTGTCATTTTAGCAATAAAAAGATAAGGCATGTAAATAATACACTATATAAGTTTTTGTATGCAGAGACAAATAAGTCTGAAAGTTAACGTGACAAATCACAAATCTTGTTAAAATACATCGTAAATAAAGCAAATCTCGGTTACTTGACACCGGTGCGCGAGAGAAAAAAAAAGAACAATATGATCGAATAAATTATAACCATATTAAAGTAAGAAAATTATACAACAAATACATCAAATTACGCATATAAAAGCCCCAAAAAGTGCAAAATGTCTTTATGACAACTTCAGACAGATAAAGTCTCAAGATTTGGCCATATATAAAAAAGACCATCTTCAGTCTCTAAATCTCAGATAATCAAAACCGTTATGCAAAATTTGAATTATCCCCCTTTAAAATAGTCTTACTGTCAAACGATATCTGTTTATTTCAATATATAATAGAGCGTTTGTCAATTTGATTGACATTACGTATATTATACGTGTGTACCAAAATTAATGCGTAGTACTCAACATATGTTATTCACATTAAATGCCTATTACCTTGGGCACAGAAGCTTAGTTTACCTGCACTCATATGAATTTATAATTCACAACACATGGCACTTTTGGTAAGATTTTTGATCATAATCATAAATGAAAAACAAACAAACAAACAATGTACCTTGTGACATTTTGATCAGTCTTTTTAATTAAAGTTATCCGTACCTGTTTATAACATGTAGTTATACCATTAATCCATCAGTCACGTTTTACGTTTAATCATTTACATCAGATTTTTTTGTTTTCACGCAGATGATATTTAATAATTTGTAAAGGACATGCTAACAAGAGCACCGCTAGACGAAGCATTATATGCCCGAAAGTGTTTTATTTTTAGTAAGGCTGTAGCATTTGTAAGACATGGAAATTAAATAAAAGTATTACCTCCTTCAAATAGCAATCCTCCTATGAAGTTTGAATATTGTGGGCCAAATGGAACTTAAGTTGTGCTCCGGAAACTGTTTTCAGTTTTAAGGTAATAGTGACCTTCAACTTTGACCTTGTGACCCCAAAATCAATAGGGGTGTTCTACCCAATATAGACAATCATCCTAAGAAGTTTGAATATTGTGGGCCAAATCGAACTTAAGTTATGCTCCCAAAACCAAATTGCTAACGGACGTACTCACAAAATGGTACTTATGTGACTTTTCATTTGATCTTTTTGGCCATTTTTAGTCCCACAAGGCTTTAAAAAAGACACACAAGTAAAAATGGAATGAATAGGATCAAAGAGAATTTTCTGTTACCCATTGTTCTCCAAGTCACACAAGTACCTCTGGGGTTCGCAAGACAGACAACAGATGCCCCGGGGGGATAAAATTATAAGCCCCAATTTTTTTCGGATAAAAAAAAGTGTTTTCCCAAAACGAAATAAGCCAGGGAAAGTTAATACATTTATTGTTACGTTTGTATCTGCTTTTCCCCATTTAAAAGATTTATGGGGACGATTTTTCTCCCGTAAAAGTCAAAGGTTGCTTGAAAAATTTTGGCCCATTCCCTTTATCCAAAACTGAACAAAAAAAACCAAAAAAAACAAAGTAAAATATTTTACTATCTAGGAGAAAACTTTTTAAAAAATTTAAAAGCCCGAAAGCGGTAATTCAGCAACCCCAGGTTGAGAATCTTGCACGTTTACGACAAATTTTACGTCTGATAATTCTCCCTCCAAAATCGGCTCATTTCACAGAAAAATCGTAGGAACTGTCATTATTTTCCCCTTCAAGGATGCAAATACCCGTTTTTACTTTTTTGGAAATTTTTAATGAGGGATTTGAATTTTAAATTTTCTAACATTCCATGGGGGGTTTGGGCATTTAAAAAAAGGGTCCTCTTTCTCCTTCGACGATAAATCGCTGGGAAAAATGTTAGATTACAAAATTTTTAAGGTTTTATCACTAGAATGGATTTTCTTGGGTTTTAAATTAAACAACTAATTCCGACCCCAAGGATCCCCAAAGGCAATGCCTCGTAACTGGGAACTAATTTTAGGCGAAGTTCAGTAAACCGATCCTGTCCTTTTGGGGTTGGAGGCTAAGGAAGGTTTGGAAAAGTAATTTTTATACTATTTTAAATTTCTCGGAGATTTAGGCAAAAATTTGGATTGGCGACTATTTTGGGTACCCCCGGGGAGTTTTTTCGTCGATTAAGACTTCTTTGAACTAAATCTCAAAAAGTTTCTTTTAACCCTATTAAATATATGAATTACTTTTATTCCGCAGATCAATTTTATCTATTTTAATAAGTCTGTTGTCTTTAGTTATAATACAGTTGTCTAAGGAGCCATTTGAAATAGTCCTCTGGCGCTCCTTCTCCGCAATCAGAGCTTTCATTATTGCACCTCTTTGAATGGGTCCGCGTTTCATCCCCTTTGGCTTTGCGTGTGTTAAGGGTCTGAACAGCGCACCAGCCGCAGCACAATTTAAGAACAATGCCGCTAATATGACTGTCGCATTTTTCCAGTCGTGAATGTCCAACAAATGTCTGTAAAGGGGTGTGAAAATAAACACTCCCACCCCCGCACCAGTGAGTGTTAGTCCAGTTGCAAATGCCCTTTTGTGTTCGAACCAAAATGCAATTATCAAAATTGATGGCTGGTACATACCATACTTAGACAACCTTCCTAAAGAGAAAAGAGGCAAAGAAATGGTCATATGCTTTTAGATTTAATTGCCGAGGTAAAAACTTGAACAAGAATCGAACAGAAAAATTTTTAAGTTACAATTTTTAAAAAATGTCAGAAAGATTTAAAAACCTTTTAAATATAAAAAAATTGTCAAAACCCCTTAAAAACTAATATTTGTATTATAATTTCTGCTAAAATTCAGCTAATTTTAAAATTCATTATATTAGCAAAAAAGGCTCTTTTTAAAAAAGGCTCTTTTTTTCAACGGGGAAAATAACCAAAATTTGGCAAAAAATTGAAAATTTAATCGTATGTACACTCAAAACTAGTCAACAGGGGAAAAAATCAGAAGATATTAGTTAAAACTATACAAACTCCATTTTTTGGGAAAAAAAACCGGTTTAACTTTTCAAGTACATGAACATTGGTACATGATAAATTGTCTTACTCTGCAGTATAACATGTACATGGGTACATGAAAAATATTCTTACTTTGCTGTATTACATGTACATCGGCACATGAAAAATATTTTTACTCTGCAATATTACATGTACGTTACGTAGGTACATGAAAAATTTTCTTTCTATGCAATATTTTATGTTCATCGGTACATGAATAATATTCTTACTCTGCAATATTACTTTTATCTCATTTATGACTGAACTATTTAAAAGATGTATAAAGATTAAAAACATCTGCCACAAGTTCATCATTATTTCAATAGTCTATGCTCAAGGTCAAGGACTAACGTGTCACGTTTTCCTACTATCAACTCACGTTTGACCGTCTCCAACAAAATATGTGACAACAATAAATGATTAACTTACTCTGTACATTTACATACAATAATGACAACAGATACAACAAATGAAAACTAGAACTGCCACTTTCATGGCGTGAATACCCCCGCATACCACTTTGTCAGAATCAACAGTGGCCATTTACAGCTCAAGGACAACCTCCCTGCCAAATCTGAGGTTACTAAGCCAGTGCATTGCTAAGTTATGTATTCTACATGCTTCAAATGTGAAAATGTCAAAATCAATACATTGCGGACAGGACATTCTTTAACAATTAAGAAGAAAAGCTTTTTTTTGTCAAGGTCCCTGTGACCTTTGACCCAGTGACCTCAAAATCAATAGGGGTCACCTTATAGTCATGATCAACATCCATGCCAAATATGAAGACTGTGGGTCATAAATGGGTGGACAAACTTTTTGAAGTCAAAGTCCCTATGACCTTGGCCTTTGACCCAGTGACCTCAAAATCAAAAGGGGTCATCTACTAATCATGATCAACATCCATGCCAAAAATGAAGACTGTGGGTCCAAAGGAATCTAAAGTTATAGGGGAAACAAACTTTTTGAAGTCAAAGTCCCTGTGACCTTGACCTTTGACCTGGTGACCTCAAAATCAATAGGGGTCATCTACTAATCATGACTAACCTCCATTCCAAATATGAAGACTGTGGGTCAAAGGAATCTTAAGTTATTGGCGGACAAGCTTTTTGAAGTCAAGGCCCCTGTGACCTTGACCTTTGACCTGGTGACCTCAAATTCAATAGGGGTCATCTACTAATCATGACTAACCTCCATTCCAAATATGAAGACTGTGGGTCAAAGGAATCTTAAGTTATTGGGCGGACAAGCTTTTTGGAGTCAAGGCCCCTGTGACCTTGACCTTTGACCTGGTGACCTCAAAATCAATAGGGGTCATCTACTAATCATGACTAACCTCCATGCCAAATATGAAGACTATGGGTCAAAGGAATCTTAAGTTATGGGCGGACAAGCTTTTTGAAGTCAAGGCCCCTGTGACCTTGACCTTTGACCTGGTGACCTCAAAGCAATAGGGGTCATCTACTGATCATGACTAACCTCCATGCCAAATATGAAGACTGTGGGTCAAAGGAATCTTAAGTTATTGGGCGGACAAGCTTTTTGAAGTCAAGGCCCCTGTGACCTTGACCTTTGACCTAGTGACCTCAAAATCAATAGGGGTCATCTACTAATCATGACTAACCTCCATGCCAAATATGACGACTGTAGGTCAAAGGAATCTTAAGTTATTGGGCGGACAAGCTTTTTGAAGTCAAGGCCCCTGTGACCTTGAACTTTGACCTAGTGACCTCTAAAACAATAGGGGTCATCTACTAATCATGACTAACCTCCATGCCAAATATAAAGACTAAGGGTCAAAGGAATCTTAAGTTATTGGGCGGACAAGAAAAAACCGACGGACGGACGGACGGCCGGATGGACAAGCTGATTCCAGTATACCCCCCTTACAACTTTGTTGTGCGGGGGTATAAATATCAAAACCTTGTCTTTTACACTGAAAACAATCAGCTTTGCCAAATTTCAGCCATATATTGCTTTAGCAATTACATAATTATTAACTAATGTAATTGCCTAGCAATATATGGTTGATGACAAAGTGTTCATAGATTTTTAACCAGAGTTTATCTGTTCTTCATGACTGTCACCATTTTTTTTCACTGCATATATTAAAGTCAAACATAAAATTCCAATAAATAACATGCATTTTGACCCTCAACTTGAATGCAAGAAACTTTTTAGTCTCGGTTACCTTTACCCATTCCTGGGTGTTAGTCCACGAAAGTTACAAACATAAAATATCTCCACTTCTTAAAATTTAGTCAAATCCATAATGGTGCTATGTGAAACAGTAAATAAGTTTGTCCAGATCTCAAACTGATACCTTAACATAAGTACTACAGTCAATTTTTTTTCAGGGAGTGAAAAAAAATAAAATATATGCTTACCAGCTAAAACCCCCTGGGTTAATCTTATTGTTGCCACGCCTGGCATTTGTGTACTGACTAGCATTAATGCACATGTTATCACACTTCCAACCATGACCACCTTACGACAACTGAACTTATGGACAAGTGCCCCTGTCAAAGGACCTGAAAATAAGAAAACAAAATATTTTTTCTTTTTGTTTTAAGTTGCAACAAAATATTGATACAACCCAACCGACCTTCCATAAGCTTGCCCAGTAACTGTCTCTCATTAAAGAAAACAAAATGGCTGTTATGCAGGTATATTCAACAATATAATGTAGTTTATTATGCAACCAATATAGAACCAAACCAACTTGTACAAAAATATTTGGTGCAGACCGACCTGATTCTATGCTTTTGATAGTAATGTACTGTTTACTCATTTTGATCTCAATACCTGCACCCTTCAGACAATAATGACAGCTCCAAATTACAATGTCCAATAAGATGTTGAACAAAATTTATGCATGATTTGCTGGTAAAAAATTGTTATGATCAACTAATTTTCAAGCAACTTACCTCCAATTAAGCAGAATGCAGTCATTAAGACAAACACCGACTCAAAAGATGCCTCGGGCATGTGGTAGTATTGACTTAGTTCAGAGACGACCTCGTGGTACGAGAACAGCAAGCCTTCGACGAACATGCTGCAAATGAACGCACCGATCACAACCACCCATCCCCATCCTCCGTCTGGTGCATCCCCGGGTCGTCGTGGGGGTCGAATTTCCTCCTCATCGTAGTACTCCTCCTTCTCGTCATACTCAAAAAATTTTGCTTGTGTCATTTTCATAACATAGTCTTGTTAATAATTCTGAAATATATAATAAGAAAGTAAGTCAGAAAACATTGTATTATAATATTATAATATTTCCAGAAGTCTTGACAAGCGAAGTCATAGAAAATATTACTGTATATAATTATCACATAACTGCTTATCCTTTTGCTTTAAATATTATATCAGATCATCTGGAAAGACTCTTAGTGCAAAGAGAAAAAAGAGGACAATAAACATAGCGTATAATCTGTATAATATATGTCTGGCATGATCATGCCATTCTATGAAGACGAATGACTGACTCTGTCAGGCAATTGTTGCAGTTATAAATAGGACGTCTTTGTATACTTTGTAACATTAAAATGTTCAATATTCTAATGCATTTGACTTATTTTTCCCAATTACTAAACACCAAATTTAAAAAAACAAAAAACAGTTACAACTTCTTTCATTATGTTTATACAGTAAAGTCTTTTTTCTACCCTTTCCCTTTAGTAACACTTCATCACAAAATGTAAATTTGTTTTTCCAATCTATCATTATTTGATCCCGACTTTCATTGTTCCAGTTTTCAGACCACTGATCTCTACCGTACAATGTATAATAACCATCATGTATAAATAATGCTAAAAATAGTAACCTCATTAGTAGCGAAACTATCACTGAACAGCACAATTATTGCTGTTCCGAGTTCCGCCAATATATTTTGTTACAGTACTAGTAATGACACAAAACAGGAACAAAAGAAAAACTATTCCTGTAAATGCCTAGAGATTTCAATACATCGATACAAAAGCAATTCTAATTCGCTGATTAAACATAATATTAATTTCAATATTAGAATGCCTTCAATGAACAATAAAATGTTTGAATTGAAAGCGGAAAAGGATAAAAATAAGAGCTGTCCTTCATATCAGAAACATGGATAAGTAATTCTAGATATATCCATGTATCATCAATATTTTCATTAGACACCTTTTGTATTGCCTATCATCAGTATTTTTGGACTGAACCAATGACACCTGTAACTTCTAATGGGTAACGTAAGTAAAACTAGTTAAGTATATTGTAAAAAAATCTGTGTTGCAGCTTTTCATCATAAATTATTAATATAAATTAATGCAATCCAAGAAATCAATAAAATATCCAATCATCAGCTGTTGTGATCCATCAATATCTCTAGTTTCACTATAGTATACATGTACATGTAGTGTATAACAATTAAATATATTCTAAAGTAACATATATTATCTTCTACTCTTTCCCTTATAAATTTGTATATACATGTATTATGAATGGAATTAATCTGCCTTCACTTTGTTTAAGTCATATAAATTAGCAATTATATTTTTTTCCAACATTTCCCCCAATAAATACCGTAATTATGTAGCCATGATTATCAATCGGGCACCTATAGATCAAGCCAGGCCATCTCACTTTAGGCTTTATACTGTTCGTACCTTAATTTTTATATTTTGTTATTGAAAACCCTTAAAACTCAAATAGACCATTCCAAATTTAAAGCTGGACTAAACCATTACACATATTTAGCAGGATAATGGTTCAACTTTAAATAAGACCTGTTTATTTACATGTACATGAAATTATAATATATCTTAAGAACACAGGTCAATACCTTGCGGTAACAAAAATAGAGATCTACAAATAACATACCTACATGTCTACTACCATATGAATATTGTATTTTTGTTTTCAAACGGGCAAACAACAATACAATATAACCATATTTTGGTTTCTGGATGACTTAACAATATGTACATGATTATCATGGCTGAATTAACACTAATTCCTAAATAGGCAGAAAAGAAAATAACTTTCGTTATGAAACTTAACAATAAATTTTCAGATCTGCTGAGTTTGCGAAAACATTAATAACAGTTTCAACCATATCTTATTTCGAGAGCCAAAGTAATTTGTGCATTCAACCACTAACAAAACAACTGGATCAGGAAAACGGGCGTCTGTATTACTTTCCAATACATAAAATCAAAGCACAGAAGGCGCTGAATTTGTTTTGGTCTCAGAATGTAAGAAAGGTGCAGGTTGTGAGATTATATGTATAGTGCCACCAATGCTTTCCAGCGTTTTAATTGTAGTAAATTGGCTATAAGACTAATTGCAACACTGATATTCAATCCAATGTTTATTTGACTTTAACAATTTAAAAAAAATGAGTTACCTTTACTGGGATTTGAACTCCAGACCTCTCGCTTTCTAAGCGAGCCCGAAAACCCTTCAGCCACGGTGAATTTATATGTGAACGGGCTGAAGAAAACCATATTATATTTAAATAAGGGCTTGTAACGACTTTAACTGTTGTTTAACACAGATGTAAATAATCCTGGAGCTTACTATAAGCATTTATATTTATAAAGAATCATAGGGCTGCAAGTTCTGTGGTATTTTCTGATCTTTGCAATCTAAATCGTACTGTATATCTGTATGCATTTTCCTGTATAGGTTTATTTTTATGTAATTAATCATTTTGCAAGGCACCAGAGTTTGATACATACGGAATTCTGCATAACTAGAGTTGCATCAAAAAATCATTTATGTTCATTTTTTACGGCAGCCACACTTTATCCTTGCATATCATGGCTACTTCCTTAACAAAAACACTTAAAAAAAGAATTTAACAAAAAAAAGTTTCCTCGACTGGGATTCGAACTCGAGACCTCTCACACCCTACGCCAGCGCGTTACCACTGTACCACGGAGAAGTTATATACAGAAAGTCTGAATAATATCAACTCATTCTAAATTTAGAACTTCCATTGCATTTCGGGTTTGTAATCCTTATTAATTTCGAGGTATTTTGTTCAGGGTAAACCTGTTGTTTAAAATTGAAGTAAATATTTTAGCGAAAATCCTCTCGCCCAAACAGTCCGACATGTAGAATCTATATATTCCACTACTCGGTTTGTGTAGTATTTGGTAATAAATAGTATTTTCATTGATAAAATCATATTCATCCGCGTAATTTGTGATTGTGCATTTATTGACAATTCTATAAGCCAACGCTATTGTTTAACTTTAAATGCGTTGTAATTTGTTGGATACTTGTAACAAAATAAAATATTTCTTTCTTTTAAATCGCTAGTTTTAAGCTGTTTTGAGAACTACTTGTTGTTAGGTTTGTTGTAAACTTCTGTGTCAGAGATTGAATGTCCGCTTTGTATTTAGTTATTTTCGATCAGAAAATACAATAAAACAATATTAGAAATCTTTGACCATTCGGGAATTACTTTGCTTGAAAATTGATGCGCCTGTCTTTGACCATCTTTACGCAGTGATCTCCCCTGAATTTTTCGGCTTTAGTGTTCATAGAAAAGGGAAGTAACCGCTTCAAAAAAGTGGACTACTTTCGGCATTTGCAATTAACAACATTAGACTCTGAAATTTCGCTTCCATTATTTGTTTGGTCTGACGACCCAAACAAATAATTACAAATTAATTTCTAAATTGCACAAAAAATTAAATAAGGAAAGCAAAATTTAAAGCACATTTAAAATGCTTTTAGAGTCCATAAAAGCTTTTGATGTCCATAAAAGCCGTGAAAGATGCACAAAGGAAGAACATTATGTGTCACTATATAAATTTATTCTTAGGGTGGGTGGGCAGTGGGGGGGGGGGTGGGGGAGGAGCGGTTGAAGGCCTTCTAAGACCTTTAAAACAACTGTTCCTAATCAGGCCAGAAAATTGAAGATTCAGTTGTACGCAATAGCAGTTATCATTATTTTACATATTCTTTTTCTTCTTAAGATGTAAAAAGATGAGAAAAGTTGATCTTGCTTTAGTTTAAAATAACATTAAAATTTAAAATAAACAGGACTATTTCAACCTTCAAAAGTCATACTCACCTGAGTTTTAAAACCAATTAAATACAAAACCGACAAAATGAAAAAGCTAATTATCTAAAAATGGGGAAAAAATGAGACCTGCTTGATTTATTATACAAATTATTGCTTAAAACTAGAGCGAACAAACATCATTTTGTGTAAACACTGTATGTTGGGGCAGAATAAGTTCAAGGTTTGTTGACACAGAAAGATCTAAGCGAAAAAATAAGTGAGCTTACAATAGGTGAAATTATATTTCTTGGATTAATTGTTTCTCTTAAACAATATTTCTAATAACACCATGATTTTCTTGTCTTTCTATATCAATGTAAGTCACTATGCTTTTCTTAAATACAGTCTCATCAAATAAACAGATTTAAGCGTTTAAAAAAAAAACCACCAAGGTTGAAGCGGCCTAGATCTTTACTCCTCGCCACCTAGCAGCGACTTAAATCTACCCATGCAACTGGAGGGCAGATCAAGATGGTACAGTACTTCTGAGCCATTTTGATCGCAGTTCATACTTAAGTATCAAGGTTTCCTATATATTTCAACTTTTTTTTAAAGAGTTTTCCAACAAAGGGATATTGAAACATTATGTAACTACCAAAATATGACATTACAAATTGTAACATAATTGTGTATAGTAGTATGAATTGTCTTCATTTTAGAACAAGAACTAGTTTAAGACTTCAAAGTCACATATATCTGAGGTCCTTTAGACTTTCATACATTAATACAATTACACTTAAGACGAGTGTAACATATTCGCCCCTCAGGTGAAACTTAATGCTAGAGACATCTAAATCTGTAGCCATAAATAGTGCCGACCTAAATACAACAGCCACACATGTACAACGTCCTCCTTTAAATAGGTCGTCATATACACTGTACACGCCAAATCATTGCTGTATAAAATATGTAATACAGACCAGTTATTCACTCCTGACAAGCGTGGTTGACAAACCTTGCTATTATTATGTACAGAAAACCTGAATACAACACCATTTAACGTCCGCGTGATCACAAGGACTTATACATAATGTTCGTCTTTTGTTTAATCACACAAGAAGTGTTACAAACAGACGTCTTATCTTTAAATAGATTACGGAATTTACAAAGATTTAAAAGGATTTTTTTTTTCGAACTTAAATATATATAACAAAATAGTTCAGAA